TGCACCCGGTGCTGTAGGAGCTGACACAGGTCCCATGGGCGCAAAGAAGCTCGTCATGGGCTGCATGGGGCAATGTTTGTGGGCCGTCTTGATTTCAGACGTTTTGCGACGCTTCGTTCGCATGCTCGAACCATCGTAGACGAGTGGGCGAGAACCGCCAGGTGGTCGCAATGGGCCACGTGACACCGATGCATACCATTCGTCAAAGAAGACGACATCGATTTCGCCACCGTTGATGAATTCATCAGAATCCTCACATTGGGCATCGGAGGTGATGTCGGTGGTAGTCTCGTGAGATGTGATCGCATTGGCGTTGACGAAGCGGCCTGTCAGTCTGGCTTTCGCCTTCGCTACTCGCGACTTCTTCGTCAGTCTCGCCATGGCAATGTGTGGGTTCAATTGACAACCGGTTAACAACCTTGACTAATCCGGTTAATCATACATACAAATTTCAAGTGATCAGGCAGCCACCCTAAGGCCAAAAGTTGACCTCTTCCATATATTCCTAAGAGAGGAGGGGCCAGGGAAAATTTTAATATCTCAATCATTTCTTTGTATAAACTCAATCCGAGACACAAGTTCTCTTCCTCTTGTCCAGCTCTATCGATTTTGTGGTCTTAGCATTCCTACTTTTGAATCCCCCAGGAGGAATAACTTCCCAAGTGGGACTCAAATTCTCGTCGTTTCTAGGCTTCTTGCACCATACATCTCATTGAAACAGTATTTCGGGTCAAAACAACAGTGGAACTGTTTTAATGAGGGAATTGTACCAGTAAAATCTGATCGAAATGGATACAACTCAATAAGGTGGTCTGATTTCTTCTAATGCGTTCGGATCTACTACTTCGACTTGTTTGATTGGCTACAACGAGATAATTGGACATTTTTTACCAATATAAAGCCCACCAAATCGTACTTTATGACACACACAACTCGATAAGGCAAAGTCATGGGTACTGAGGGTACTGAGTGAGGTCTAGCCAATTTTCGCCCAATTACAGATATATTTCGAAATTTTGGTTCAAAGTACTATAGTAATGCGAAGGACTTTGGCTGTCACCTACAGTACTTCGAAGTATTTTTGACTGTCGGATCAAACTGATTTCGAAAGAAACTCGACGATTCTCAATTACAGCATTGCCAACTTTCAGAAAAAAGTCAGTTGAACTACTTTTCTACTTTTTGGAAAAACTTCAAAATACTGCAAATTTTAGTTCAAGAATGCAAATTTTTCAGATTTTGCCGATTTGTTAGAAATTGCCAAAATATCGAAGTTTTTAGCCTTTTTTTGACATCCAGACACTGTATGACATAATCTTATGAGGTGGCATCCAACCCAGCCCTTACGTTAACCACGTGATTTGGAGTGACGAAGTTCAAACTGCGTGTACTATGAGCAATCGGACAACAGCATGAATAGGACGCGTAACAATGACGAAAGTAGATTAATGTATGGATTTATCGTCCATGGTGTGAAAGGTATGCCTTAGGTTACACCCGACCTCCTTTTCGCCGTTTCGTGCTTGCTGGCGACGGACTGTATGGTCGCTTTCGCACGACGTAAACGTCGGCGTGTGTCGTGCCTGAGTGAAAGACGTTGCCCATCAACGCCGACGCAGGCAAGAGTTGGGCGGTTTTGGATTCGCGGTGGTCGTCGTGCATGGCCACGGCGGCTTTGCCAAACCCAGCCTTGAGCGTTAGCAAGAGCATGCGAGCAATGTCTTGCGCTTCGAGACGAGACTGCTTGTGGAGGATGTGGAAGTTGGTGGCCACGCACGACGACGGGTACGTGAATTCGTCCCCCGATGCAAATTGCACGCGCAAGTACCCGCCAAAGTCGTTGGGGAGGTGGATTCGATGGACACCTTTCCAGTAGGATCGGAATTCGGCTTCGGTTTGAGGAACGAACTTGCAGAGGTCGCGCGCGAGGTTCAATCGCATCAAGTTGGTCGGCGGTGGGGCCGCCGTGGAGTAACGAAGGATGCGACACTCGTTCATGCCAGGAATAGCGTATAACAGAGCATTCGTCACGACATTCTGCGAGATTTTGTCGTCCGACAAAGGTCCTTGGTTTGCTCGCATTTCTCGGATGACTGTATCGGCAGTCTTCATGGCGTACACCACGGGGGAAAACGACATCACCACATGCTGCCCGACAAGTCGTAGGTCGTGAATTTGCACGCACTGCACTTCATCTGGTCGCAACTGCTTGTTCATCGTGAAAGTTCCATTCTGGCCCATGTGCACGCTTCCAGACGCCTTCACCTGAAGCAAGACCAACGCACAACTGAGCGCGTTCACGACGAAACTTGACATCGGTCCTTTCTCGCGATGGATGTTCACGGTGACGCCGCACTCCATCGCGCACGACCAGACGCTGGGCATGTCGTCCACAACAATCAGTGTCTTTCGTCCATCGTGTGTGACAACACTGTGCAGCACATGCTTTTCCATCAACAGGTTGCTAATGTGGTCCATCGCGAGGTGATGATGCTCGCCACCCAAGGTCACCATGAGAGTCGTCTGAGGAGTTCGCACCGCCAACATTTCCTTCACATTGACGCGCACTTCGTAGCGCTTCAACGCATGACTTTCTTCGTACTTCATGTCAAAAGGCGCGCGGATCGCACTTTCCACCGCGAAATCGGAAATGAAAACGAAAATTTGCGCCATTTATCGAATCTTGTTGCATTTCGAATAAACCACTAACCGGAAAGCTATCCGGATAGCCAATCAGAACGTCCCCAGTTGGATCATCCGGTTCATTATCCGGCTACCCACCAAATTCAATGGCCGGGCGTTGAACCGACCAGTGGGAGCGTGTTTCATGAATGACGCACATACGATGGATCACGTGGCCTGTCTTGAACTTACTCGCTACTCCACCACCCACTTGTTCCTGCTGTTCAGCACGACCATCCTCTTCCTAGTGGTTGGCAAGCCTTGCATCATAGACAAAGTTGTCAATGTTTCAAGCTTCCATACCTGAGGGAGGCGGTTGATCCTCCAACCTTCATCATCTACGGTATAATCATAGTACATACCGGTATAGGTGGAGGTAACTGTAGTAACCTCCACGTACCTATCTTTACCTAACGTTACTGGTACACCAGTATTCTCAAACAGTGGGTTGAATTTGTCTGGAGGATGAAATACAGAGAACTTTCAGTTATTAATCGTTTACCCCGTTGCGAAAATAAAGAACTGATTTATTACGCACTTGACAGTGAGAAAGAACAACTTATTCTGTTAGTTTACCCCGTTGCGAAAATAAAGAACTGATTTCTTGCGCACTTGACAGTGAGAAAGAACAACTTATTCGAATATCGTCAATATATATATGTAACGTTACTTTTACAGTGTATCTCAAAGATCTTGAAGTTTGAGCTATTGAATCGGACCATTCACGCACTGAACGTGTTGTACGTGCACGTCACACAGATAGAATTATTCAAGGCTTTCAGTAGTTGCTTGCACATTTGGCCAAGGCATAGTGTGATCGCAGTCAAAATGACCATCACTCACGACTCTCGCTGATTGGCTCAGAATTTCATCACAATTTCGTGGTCGCAATAGGAGACCGGATGCAACGGCATTTGGGTGGAGGAATACTATACTGGTAACGTAAATGGCCAATTTATGGTGCACTTGAACGAGACTTCGTCGTCGAATGCAGCTTCCTCGTCTCTCAGGAACGGGATTTCAATTCTGAAAAGTGCTGCATGAAGCCGAAAGGTTGGGCATTCTTCTGATTATTTAATCAGCTTGAATAGACTTCAACTTAGCGCTCATTTACTTCGATTTCCAATCACAGTCAGGTCAAGGCAAAATAGGAAGGACGGTTTATGGTGCACGAATTAACAGTAAGCTTAAAATATGTATATAGGTATTGCTTATGTTTTGGTGATTTCGCATGTCTAGCGAATCGATTGGCTAACGTTATTCCTGAATGAACTGTAAAGCAATTCCATTGGCCAATTTCAGTGCACTTTAAACTGACCCAGGCACCATAACTTTACAGTTAACGCAAAATGCAGCTTACTCGTCACTTAGGAACGGGATTTCAATTCTGAAAAGGTACGAAAGGTTGGGCATTATCCTGATTATTTAAATCAGCTTGAATAGACTTCAACTTAGCGTTCATTTACTTCGATTTCCACTCATGTCAAGGCAAAATAGGACGGCGGTTCAATCGTTAACAGTAAAGCTGCTAAAACCACTGGCAGAATTGTTGAGAAGCACAATAGATAGATAGTCAAACAAGTTTCGTTGGTTGTCAGTCTACTGTATAGTTACATCCCAATAAATTTTGAATTTAAACTGTAAAGTTATACTTCAAAGTAGAGAATTATCCTGTCATTTGGACTATTCATTTTTGCTGATGATAGCAAAAGATAACTTGTGGTGGCACAAATTGATCTATTTTCCGTTCGAATAAAAAATACATCCTATGTAAAATACTTCATTGCGAACCCCTCGAGGTTACTAGTATGCGGTTAGAGTACATTATGGAACGTTAGCAGGGCCACTGAACTGTGGGACTGGAGTGAAACGATATGTCGAAGGGGTTTTGTTTCGAGCAAGTCGAGTTGACTCGCTCAGGACTGGTTGGCGGCTTCGTCGAGGAGCAACTGGTACTTGTGCACGAGGCGCTGGAGGACTCGATTGGACGCCATTTGGGGCAGCACCACCGTCTGCAACAGCTCACGCTTGGACACATCCTAAGCAACCCCACATGACATTCTCACACCATGTGCATATCTCAACGATGATTGATCCACGTACGAGAACAGTGGACGTCCAAGTATCCGTGGACGTTGTCGCAGACATAGGCCCTAGGAATTCCTTGCATATTTCCTCCAGTCGCAATAGATCGCCGTCGTGGGAGAGGTGCCGGGCATACACTTTAAGCCTGGACGACCATGACCATCTATTAGTTGATTGATCGAGTGGTTATGTATGCACGCACCAGTGCATGTACTCGGTGGTGCTACGGAGCGCCAAACTGGCGGCCACCTGATGCTCCAAGTGCGTACGGGTGATGTGATGTTGTTGGATGGCATTTGATATGCCCGCGACCATGGACGTGGCACTGCGTGTGTGGGTAGAGGCATTCTGCAACCTCCGCAGAGTCCCCACCTACTCCATAGCCGCCTCGTCATGCTTGCGTGGGGTATTCAACATTGGTGGAGGGGGGGGGCGTACTGGAATGTCGGATGAAACCATCGCATCCGATGGCAAGTGCGTGTGAAAGTCGGAAGACGAAAACGATTCGTCAGCCACGCGCATCCTACCCCACCCGTCAACAAATCACATGAATAGATAAAAGTCTCTCACCAGCACTGCATGGCCAAATCGTACGTGAACGAGTGCAACAAGCTGGCCGACGTTCCGCCACCGTCGACAGCCAGTGTCACAATGGGTTGACCCGCGGACGTCACCATCGCTCGAATCAACGTGGACTTGGTCGTCTATTGTCGATTAAATATACAAATTTGGGGAGGACGAAACCGATCCACAATCGATCTGATTGGTTGAATTTCATTGAGAAGGTTTTGATTGGCTAATAATGTTGAGCTCATCGGAGGTAGCCAATCAAATCGATTTAAATTCCAACGACAAACCACGCCACAACACGAAATTTCACTCGAAAGAACAATATATAGATAGGTACGTAATCATGTTTATTCTCCACACAATATTATGCATTTGCTACATCTTTCCCAAATCTGCGCGATTATTCGTAAAACCGATCACAAATCTCGTACCGTTATTCGATTGGCTCTCGCCATTCCGCAGAAATAGCATAAAGACAAATGAAAAAAAACAATGTAGCCAATCACCGAAGAGTAATTCCAGATTGACCAATAATGGGAGCGATTCGTGATCGGCGTGATTCGATTGGACGGGGTCTGGAAATTCGTATCAAATCAATAAACATATATTGCGGATTCGGTCCAAATTCCCCGCCGAATCGAACGCTATTGGCCAATCCAATTTTGAAAGGATTTGATTGGCTCTTACAGAAGAACACGTATAATCAACCAATCACAACACCAGCATGATTCAATATTGGTTAGACAAACCACGCGAATTTTGGTAGTTTATCGCAAATTCACAAGATTGAATCCTCGTCAGCGTCAGCGTCAAAATTCGTTTGAAACTACGTACGGTGAGGCCACAGACGGACGCGGCCACGGCTACCCTTTTGGCTTGAATTGTCCACGTCTTGACGTCGCCATTGGTCAAAATAACAAGCAAGTACGGCGTTGCCCCGGCACTGCACTCGATCGCGGCGAACGGAAACCCCAATGCTAATTATATATATCATTAGAGTATGCAAAGAAGCACACGACGGACCGATGGGTGGAAAGAGCCGCCGCCCCAGAGGCGACACGATGTACAAGTGGCCGTCCGTGGTGCCGACCGCACAAAACGACAGGTTGCCCGTCGCGCACGCCGCTTGGCCAGGGATCCTGTCCATCCAGTGCACGCTGCTGCCTTCCATGCACGCAACAGACGTGTACATCATCGTCATCCCATCGTCCGTCACAACTTTGCACTCGATCACTTTCTCTGTCGACTTGACGCCGACGGAAAACGACGAGCGACCTGGAATTTCAGGCATCTGGTGGACCCGTTCGTGTTGGGGAATCCTATACAAGGCAATCAAAACCTCGTGAAATCTAGAGGCAAAAAAGGGCGTACACGAGCAGCGTGTTGGAGTTGGTAGGCTGGTGGTCCACGACTCGCTTTCGCTTGATCGGGGGGACATGCGTTGTCGTTTCAATCTCTCCTGTTGTTGCTACTGGTGGTGGTGGTGGTTTCGTGACAGGTGTGGTGGTCGAAGTCGGTGGCTTCTTGGCCTTGGGTCGAGCTGTCAGCGTGGTCACACTGGGCTTGGCCGCGGTGTCGGCGGGTTTCGGTGTGGCCGCCACCAGCGTGAATGCATGCGCGCCGGACGCGTTGCCATTGCTAGGCGTCAGTCGAGCTGCCAACTTGTCCATAGACGCTTGTTTGTGCTGGCCTTCTAGCTACACACACTCGGTGTGAATAAACGATCTCAAACGATTATATGCTTGCACACCTCCAACTGTAGCGGGTTCTCCACCAGCGTGCAGCCAGACGTTTGGCCGGCCAACGACCCATACTAGGAGACAAACGACAAATAATATTTAGGAGAATATCAATGAAAAATCAGCATCCTATCGACTAGTTGAAAGGTTCATACCTTTTGCTGGAGCAGTCGACTTTGGTGCTGGGGCGTGATGGGGGTGCCCAATTCGTCTGGCGTAAACTAGACACACACACAGATCAGTCATCCACGAGGCTAATAATGTAGATGTGTGTTATTGCCAAGTCGATATATTTAAAATTGGAGTGTTTGGGTGTGTACTCCATCGAATGACCAAAATCACCAAATCGGCAGAATATCGATATACGACCAATCAAAACCCAAAACACAAATCTCAAGTAACGTAGATGGCCAGTTTATGGTGCACAGGACAGTTTAAGGTGCACTCAAATTGGCCAATGGAATTGCTTGAATTTTGGAGTAGCCAATCAAATCTCTAGAAAAATGAAATCACTAAAAAATAAGCAAAAACAGCATACATATTTTAAGCTTAAACCGTGCACCATAAACCGTCCCTCCTATTTTGCCTTAACTTGAGTGGAATCGAAGTAAATGAACGCTAAGCTGAAGTCTATTCAAGCCGATTAAATAATGAGAAAAAAGCCCAACCTTTCGGCTTCATGCAGCACTTTTCAGAATTGAAATCCCGGTCCTGGGAGACGAGTAAGCTGCATTCTACGACGAAGTCTCTTTCAAGTGCACCATAAACTGGCCATCTACGTTAGCCAATCAAATCCACTCTTCAACGAAGTCAACATCGAGTAGTTAGCGTGTATGACTGAAATTAGTATAGACCATTTTGCCATTCAAAATGCAAAGAATAATCGATCGATCGATTTGTCGAATCATCAGCACAAAAGTCAACCACATTTAGGGTAAAACACAGACAATATATATATATTGTGCTTTCGAGTGAAATTTCGTGTTGTGGTTTCTCGTTGGAATTTAAATCGATTTGATTGGCTACCTCAGATGAGCTCAAAATTATTAGCCAATCAAAATTCATTTCTCAATGAAATTCAACCAATCAGATCGATTGTGGATCGGTTTGCGCGATTCGATTGCACCCCCTCCCCAAATCTGTATATCAAATCGACAATATAGTACGTACTTGAAAGACACAGATCGTGCCGTCCAACGATGCACTGAGGAGGGTAAACCCGTCAAACGACCAGCTCAGGTCTGTAACAGATGCATCAAAGCACTCTTTGATCACGGCCACCGGCCGAGACACATCGGCTAGCCATACGCTCACGGTGCAGTCGTCCCCTCCGAGCGCACAGCACGCAAACTCCTTGTTGGCGGTCTTGGCTATGTAAGTACATAGGATAAATAACAAGAGGCCCGACCGATTACTGTATCGCAGATATCAGTGTACCCAAGAGGCGCTGGTTGAACCGGGCACTGGTGACCACCCCTCGATGGCCCACAAAGTTGACATCGTTCGTCCACGTCTTGCGTTCAATCAGCGCTGCCACGTTTTGCTTGGACTAGCACATGTCACATATATATATATCGATCATGGGCATCTTTTGAATGGTCAACAATATATCGTGGCGGCCGTACTTTGAATGCGTGCGTGCCACACACCAAGCTTCCATCGGGGGCCCACGACAGTCGCCGGAAATGCGATGTGGTTGTGCCATCTTCGAACGGACTGCTGATCTTCTCCTCGGCCTAGTCGAATGAATACAGGACCCACAAGGGCGACATATACGGCATCGTAGCGAATAATACCTCCCATGTATCCACGCGCCACATGATAATGCACTTGTCTTCGCCTGCACTGGATAAGTACTACACATGGATAGGCCGTCAAATGTAGGTACTCAGCCATGTGATAGAACGAAAACATTCGTACTTTGCCCACGGGATCCCACGCCACACCCTTGACCCATCCTTGGTGGCCAGACAAATGCTGGATCGGATGCGTCATCACCGAGCTGAGGTGATCCATGGACCAAATCAAGATGGAGTTGTCGATGCTGCAGGTGGCGAGCATGCGGTCGTCGGGCGACCACGCCAGGTCCTGGACATCTGCAACACAAGAAGAGCGGGCGGTTGAGATGACCTTGTGATGATGGCATACGTACATACCCATGGTGTGGCTCTTGAGCATGGAACAGCGCACCCATGTCTCTTTGTTCGGGACTTGATTCGATCCAAACGGAATGGGCGCCGGAGGTCCGTCTTGCAGTTCATACAGCAACACCTGATGGTCGTCCGAGCCAGACGCGAGGTACCGGCCGTTGTGCGACCATCGCACGCAGTTGACGGCTTTCTCGTGCCACGTCAACGTCGCCAAAAGCTCGCATTCTGGTCCGTCGGTTTCGGACAGTACTTCCAACGACCAGATCTTGACGCAATTGTCTACAAGACGTAACGATTGACGCATACTACTGCGGAGTGGACTATGTTGCTAACCTCCGCCTGCCGTCGCAAACTTTAGGTCGCTTGGATGCGCGTCGATGCCGTAGATACTGTTTGCTGTACCAGAATGAGGTTCATGCCAGTTCATTTGGAAGAATGGCATAGACACGACATCAGCTCACATATAGGACATGGCACGCTCATTGCACATGCACACGTACCATTTCCAGCAGAGTTGAGATGCCTCACGACGTCGGGCTTGTCGATCAACATCCAGTGGCTTTGCCGCTTGTAGGGGTATGGATTACGGTTATACTCTTTAATTGAATGTTTACATTCCTAATGTGAGTTTATTATATACAACAGGTAATGAAATTATGAAGGTTTGACATTTACGACAATCGTCGACCCGAACGGGAACAACTCTGCAAGTCGTGTGCTTCCACTGCGTGGGCGCCACTCACTTGCTCTTAGGCCAACTCGCATGAACGCATCTACTACTTCGTATGATAGAGGACACCTGAACACATCGTGTCACCAAGGCACTGTGTACGACAAGGTGAAATCCTATTGGCATTTTGATTACAATAGCACGAAACCCTTCGCGTTGATTGGGTAGACAGACAATGTCCCCCGACAGTCCACCAAGTCTTGTCATTGCTGGCATGTTACTCGTAACGTTATGGCAGCAATGCCGCGAGTACAGTACGCATGTAGCATGCTACAGTATCGCTACCAGCCACTATATATATGAGCCCAGTGAATATGCCGTTGGAATCTCGTTGTTCTGTTTGCGCAACCCTATCACTGGTATCAATCGCATCTGCGAGGGGTCACAGAGGTAGCTTATCGTATCCTGAATGAAACACGTCACGACCCTCGACAGACATCGTCCCAGCAAGGCTCGCCTCCATCTTGCGCTGCATGCAACAACCATGCGCCACATGCATCCTTCAATCACTGGCAGGTTGAAGTTTCAAGGAACCGTCAGAACAATGAAAGCGGAGCTTTTTGATTGGCCATTTATATACAGAAACAATCTTCTCACGAGCAGACACAATCCATTTTTCGAGGTCGAACAATGATCCGCCGCCTGCAACCCATCCACGCTATCAATCGCCCGCGGATGTGTCTGTTCTCCAAGGAGAGCGCGATGTTCCAAGCCATCCGATACTATCGAGACTCTGCATTGCAACTTCAGACCCTTCCGCAGCTAAAAGTACGGGATCCGCCGCGAGTTGCAAGCGGTCGCGGTGCAATGTATGAGTATACCCACCGTGGCATCAAAGCGGCACTTGCCCGTACGGTGACAACTGCCAGCGTCCCGTCGATGACACTGGTGCAGCGATCAGAGGAAGGCGGCAAGTTTTGGCTCGTTGTGGCCACCCTCGCCTGGACGTGTGCCGCCATCGCGTCAGAAGTTTCCATCGCTAAGAACGACGGATGGACCGAGAAGAAATCCATGCGCGAGACGTCGATACCAGCGATGGAATGGCGCGAGGCTGCAGAGGAGGTTCATGACGCGAAGGTTGCTGTGGAAGCGCGTGCAGTAGGCGACCCACGTCAGAGAAATGCACTGGGAAGTCGCCTTGCCATGTGGGCCCTGCAACACCTTCATGCACAAGCACACGAACCCCTGACAACTCTGTATGAGCATGTCACCGACATCCATATGGAGTAACTAGAGCATCATGATGTGTCATGGGTAGTTTACATATTGTTCTCAACCGGGGAGATAGATCGACCTGCATGATAATACACCAATAATACACACCTACAACGAAGTACGCGGATGTTGGATTCGCCGATGGGCGCAGTACTGTAATGCCATATCAATCACTGAAGTGGGCGAGGGAGAACGATGACTAATGATGACATGTAATATATGACGCTTTACAACGGCTTCTTCTTGATGGGCAACACTGCCTTGCCAACCAGGGACTTGTGGATGTGAGGGATCACACCACCGCCGGCGATTGTCGCCTTGATCAACGTATCAAGTTCTTCATCCCCTCGAATGGCCAGCTGTAAATGTCGCGGCGTGATACGCTTCACTTTCAGATCCTTCGACGCGTTTCCTGCCAATTCCAGCACTTCTGCGGTCAAATACTCCATGATAGCAGCTGTGTAGACTGCTGCCGTGGCTCCGATGCGTTGGTTGTTTGCCACGCGTTTCTTCAAGAATCTGTGGATACGGCCGACGGGAAATTGAAGGCCAGCACGACTGGAGCGGCTTTGCGGGGCCTTCTTGGAAGCGACGCCCTTGCCGCCCTTGCCACCTTTGCCACCTTTACCTCCTTTGCCGCCTGCGGGAATGCCGGACATGACGTGCGTTGCGATCGGGGTGAACTCAAAAAACGAAATGACCCGAAACACACGAGGTGTGTTTGTCCGTCCATTGATTGGCGGGATTTTTGGATATTTCCGATATGATTGGCCACGAAGGCGGTTTCTCACTTGTTCGATTTTCGCTCCCTCCGGAATAAGATTAGAGAAGTTTACCACCCATATTTTGTGGTCCATTTTTCAAACTTACAAGATGTAATTTGAAAGGTCATTTCATGTTAGATTCAATCCGATTTTGCGGGCAAGATCCCAGTCCCTCCAAAACTGGTTTCCCCAAATTCAAATTCAAAATCGAAACCACGAGAGACGTGACGCGAAGTCTCATGCTGCATGCGATATCTTGGTGGCCACAAGTGTGCGACTAGCGGAATGCGGTGGTCACAATAGAGCGTAACCAGGTAACGTTACGACAAAGTGAGGGCAGATTGACATCATTTGCGGGCGATGTAAGAGATTGATCCATGCGCGCTGTGAATTATCGCGATTGCTACGATTTCATTGGATAAACATTATCATTGGCTGAAGCGAAGTTGAATGTGATGATCAATTGTTCAACATGAGTGCGTTGTACGCTGAAGCGGCGGGCGTCCTCGAAGGCTTGTTTCGACGCAGCGGTGGCCTCAAGACGTTGACCTATGCGGACAAGATCAAGTCCAAGCGCAACTGCTTTGCGCTGGTGTGCCAAACGCTGCGGTACAAGCCGCTATTGGACGAATTGATCGCGGCCGTGCCCGACCTCGCCAAGCATCTCAAGAAGTCCACCAAGGCGGGCAAGCCAGACAAGGCTGACGCGAAGAAGGCCAAACACGTCACCGCGCCGTCTCACCAGGCGCTGTTTTACATTGCCATCTACGACCTGCTGTTTGGCAAGGACAAGAAGATCCAGGGCGGCGGGTTCGTGAAAAAGACTGTGTTGCTGCATGCGAATGCGTTGAAATCGGCCGTGGTGCGTATGAAAATCAAGGCCAAAGTCAAGACCGACGAAGACTTGCTTCCCGAAGAGAACCGCATGACCCCCAAACTGCCACGGTATGCGCGCATCAACACCCTCCGGGCCACGGACATCTCCGACACGTCCGATCTCGCCATCGTCCGGTCGTCGCTCGGCTTCGCAGCCGACTTGCCCGTGTCCGTGGACCCCCACGTCGGCGACATCCTCATGTTTCCCCCCGGCACGGAGCTTCACACCCACGACAGCGTCACGAGTGGGAAGCTCATCCTCCAAGACAAGGCCAGTTGCTTCCCAGCATTTGTTCTGCACGGCGAGCGCGGTGCCGACGATTTCGGCGACGTCATTGACGCCTGCGCGGCACCAGGCAACAAGACCGGTCACGCCGCCATGCTCGTGGCGCGGAAACAATCGGCGTCCGTCCGCCCCATCCGCGTGTTTGCCTTTGACCGGTCCAGCCCCCGCCTCGACCTGCTCAAGCGGCGGATGGCGGCGGCGGGTGCCGACGGCATCGTCGAGCCGTGCTTGGCCAGTTTTCTGGACGTAGACGTGCACGACGAGCGGTACCAGCATGTGCGCAGCATCTTGCTGGACCCGTCGTGCTCGGGATCGGGCATGTCGAACCGGTTGGACCATTTGCTGGAACTGAGTGCGATGCAGCAAGAGAACGACGTCGAGCAGGAGCACCAAGTCGAGCCCAACGACACGGCCGCGCGGCTGCAGGCGCTAGCAGACTTCCAACTGGAAGCGCTCGTGAAAGCGTTTTCGTTTCCCCAAGTCCGCCGCGTGTCGTACTCGACCTGCTCGATCTTTGAGACAGAGAACGAGCACGTAGTTGTGGCGGCGCTGGCGGCCAACCCGGCGTTCAAGCTGGTCAAGTGCCTCCCGACGTGGCCTCGCCGGGGGGTGGTCGTGCCCGGCCTGACGGAGCAAGATGCCGACTGCCTCGTCCGGGCCAACGGTTTAGAAGACGGCACGAACGGCTTCTTTGTCGCGTATTTTGAACGCAAGGGCGAAGTTCATGGCCAAGAGGCTTCCGTAAAGCGACCACGGGAGAAGACACAAGCGCAGAAGGACCGAAAAAAACGAAAACGCAACAAGAAAGCGGATAACGTGGCTGCAGGTGGTGGTGGCCAAGTTGCGGCAGACGATGACGAATAGCATCGACGACCCACAAGTCTAACCGGCATGAATGTAATATATGTTCCGAACGTTAATGTTACATGTCCATAGCAGAGGGTTCGTTTTCTGTGCCGTTGTTGAACCCACAAATAGAGGGGGGGGTCACGTGTGCGACGCGAGGGCCGTGGTTTTGTACTTGTGAGCAAAATATTCCACTGCATGGGTTTCTTGGGCGTTGTGAATCATGGCGAGATGGGTCCGGCTGGCTAGATGGGTCTCCATTTGGTCTGTGGCCATGTCGTTCTTGGTCGAAAAGTAGGCTGTGGTGCGCCTATGACTCTGATGCAAGTTGACGGTGGCTTTCTCCGCGCTGCTGCCGGCCAGATGGAGGGGGCCAGTCGGATGGGTGGGGGGCATGGGATCCCGCACACACAGTCGCCATTGCGCAGCTTTGGTATGTCGCGGTGACGTGCTACGAACGTGCTATGCCGTCCTCTCAAGTTGGGGTCAACCACGTACTTCATTGTTACCTGCATTGAAGCAACCCCAGTGGCTTTGTCTGCCACGAGAAGGCGGTCGTCTTGACGCAAATGCACAACACTGTAGTTGCAAATTGGTCGGTTTACGTCGGGTGGTTCATTGCCCGCTCTTCCATGGCAATACTCGTCTAGTAGTTATTGTGCCCCGCGATATGTTGTGAGCTGTTGGTTGCATGGCGGACTTATTTTCCTTACCGCCAACGTACAACTCGTCTTTTTCGTCGTCGAGATCGTTGTCGGCGGCCGACGGCACCACTTGAATTGTCCATTTGGCCAAGTGCATCACCGCGTGGTTCTCCCCCAAACACTCCGCCATGGACGTGTCGTAGCCATAATGGGCGATGCTCGGCACCAGCGCTTCCAAGGCGCTGGCGATGCAGACAGTCTACCAGTGTATCGAAACTTGAGTGATAAGGAGTTCGAACGAAGAAACACACTTGGCCACTGGACCCGTCCGCCGCGACACTCCACGACAAGAAAAACTGCACGTCGTTCAGGTACAACGCGACGGGGTCTCGCTTTTTTGGAAGGAGGGGGTTGAACTGGTCGAGTCGAAGCCACATGGCATCGCCATCGTATATGTACCCTCGACGAAACGGATCGGCAAAGTCAACCTAACGTTAGTATTGCATGATGAACGAGCTCAAGATGATTTGATGCGTCGAAAGCACACCATGCGAAGGAGAGTGCCAGGGTCGGCAGCATGGCGCCGCTGGGAATTCGAAACGCTTTTGCCGCTTCCACCAAGAAGTAAGCAAGCGCGCGTGGCGCATGATTCCAAGTAAATAGTGCTGCCATAAGTTACATGGTGCCACTTGGAATGGCGGTAGCTGCCTGGCGTGCTACGAATGAAATGAATAGGGTAAGTGTATGGGGAATAGGTTACGGAAGGGGAGGAGGGGCTGTGGCTTTTGTTTGCAAGTCGCGAAACCATTGGCGCGACACTTCGGCTGGCGATGGGGCGGGTGCGTTGTTGTCGACACCGCCGGGTACTGGTTGCTTCGACAGACTCAATGATCCCAATGCATTCAATTGACGGACACTGGCCAAGGCTCTGCGATACAGCGCTCTGTTCCACTGGGCGCCATGAAGGTCTGTCCGAACCTGCATCAATGGAAGCACACCTTGATCCTTCGATGCCCCCAGACTAGTTGCAAGGGCACCGTTTCTCCTTCGACAAGCCATGGCAACGCTGGCCATTTCAAAGGGTTGCGACGAATTGTCTTGAGCATCACACTCTGCTCCATCTTCGTCTTTTATCGTGTCATCCGTGACGGTGTACTTGCGCTCTTGAAGTATGGACAGGTGGCGAGTCAACCTATGACTGTCGGCGGGCTGGATCAACGAAAACTTAGGCCCAGGATTGTCGTTGGTGTCAATGGAGTCTCGTAGTCGATGGCCGGTACTGATGCGAACGAGGCGACGGGTGCTCTTGCGCACCATGCTGTGGAGTAGCATCTTGTCTGTCCCTTTCTCATGGTGCGTCATCAAGCGGCGACGGTTTCGTCGTTGACATGATCAATTTGACGGTTTCGATACTTAACGATGAAACCGTCGAAAATAGTACCCACCATCGACAAGGCGCACGTCGAACATGGAATCGGCCCCGACTTCAAATGCACTGGAGAGTCCAGCAAATAATATCAAACCGAATGTGGACGAGAACATCCTCGGCCCATCGCTCTTGGATGTGATGCAGACCACGCGACTGTCGAGCTTGAAGGCCACGTATTACTCGCGGTCGGCGGTTGTCGCGCGAGTGCACGAAAGCCTCGTGGGCCAAGACTGCTCCAAGCGAGTCCAAGAGTTCTTTGTGTCGACGCTGCAGAAGCTCGAATGCGACGCGTCCGGCCTCGTACTCGTCCAAGACAGCAGCGTGTGCGTGATCCTCGAGTCCACGTCCGACCAGTTCACCGACCTGTGCTCCGAGCTACGGTCGTTTTCGGTGCTCACAGACGTCAAGGTCCTTGCCACGTGCGACGACAACGCGACTCGGCTCATGAAGAGTCTGTACTTTAAGAAACTGTCGATTGCCAAACCGGTGGACGACGCCGACGAGTTCCAGCTAGCCAAGGACGTCGTGTTCAACTTGGTCACGCTGATGCGCCGATTCGGCGCCATGCCCGCCGTAAGTGTATTTTGTTGGCTCACGATGCAACTACTCATGGGGATGTAGAGTACCATCAAGAAGACGTTGGCGGCCCCAAGCAACAGCGACCTCATGCTCATGCCGTCGAACGACACGGTCGTGTTCCTCGCCAAACACGAGTCTCTCATGAGTTTGGACGAGTTCCTCGACATTTACAAGGCCCCCATCTCCATCGAATTGGAGTCGGAGCGCGTGTGGCCCATCCATCCCCTCTTTACGTATTGAGTCAATGTATATTATTTTGGGATTGCTTGAATGTTGCGGGGGAGTTGCGGGATGCAGGATAAAGCAATAAAGCTACACAACCAATGCTCCTTTGCATAGCGCTAGTTGTTGACAGGACGACGAAAGGATAGGTCCATCTTGGAGGAACACTGAGACGGACTACATAATGTACGGTGAAAGACAGGAAGCTAGAAACCTCTCACAAATGGCAATCATAACGGGCTTGTAAACGTCAAGTTGGGCCAGACGAAATGACTGTTCCAAGGCCATAGCTCTCCGATTACTATTTCAATCGTACTAACGAGAAGCTCTCCCGGCTACAAGTAGTTTGGTAGGACGTATGAGACTGCATCGCTGCTGTACACGAAAAGAGCCCTTTCTAAACACGTATGTCTATATACTTCGTACTAGAAGTACTTAGGAGCTATGCAGGGGCCTTAGGTATTGACACTTAGGCGGCGTCGGTTGTGGCTTGGGACGCCACAGGGGATTGCTGGTCTGGCGTCGGTGCAATCACGGGAGCTTCCGTGGGCGTGGGTCTCGCAGTCTCTTGCGGGATGACATCTACTGTACACGAGGTATTTTGAAACAAGCCTTTGATTCTGGTGGTATATTATATTACTCACTTAGCGAGCCTGGTGACGACACTTGGCCCTTGCTGTCCACCAAACAAAGACCACCCGTGCAGTAATCTTCTTTCAAGGAACGCTTGGGCTTGACAAAGTTGCACAGCCCACCAGGGCACGACCCGTCTTCGGCTTCTACGATGGTGCACACGCCGCCTACAACCGTCGTCACGATTAGCTTGACATCATGGATGAGATCGTGTGCGTACCGCCGCAATCAGGGCTCTTGCAATTGCTACAAGTCACAACATGAATATGGATAGTTACTTCACGAACAAGGATGTGTTTACGTCGTACATGAAGTCGCAAAGCCCCCCCTTGCACGAGACCGGCTCGTTGCAGTCGCGGAAGACACAGCCGCCGTGGGGACATTCCCTCTCATCGCAGGTCGTAGGCTTCACAAAACGAAGGCCATCATGCGAAGGGACTAGCTCTGTGCCAGTCGCCAAGTGTAGCACCGCACAGCATGTCAGGACATAGATCTTCATGGTCACGACGGTTCGCGGAAATAACAGCTTGCTGACTACAGAGAGTACAGTAAACATATACTAGTAGTAAATATTCACTTAGTTAAATCAAGTGATCTGTAAAGTGGAACAACCATACCGGTACTATTAATATTACTACTGTAGTATGGTTTTTCTACTTCACATATCACTTGATTTAACTATAGTCATATATTCTTGAAGTATATCAAGTCCGGTTACTCGGCAATGCTGACGAAATAACTTTGTTTTGGACTCGGAGGAAACACAAACACCATCACAAGTGATACCCGCGGCAAGTACACGAACGAGTGTAAATCGGTGCCTTAAGCTCAACCGATAACAGTAAAGTGAGAAATTCGCATTTCAAATTCCCGTGACACCAACTACCGGTACAGCATACGTAAACGCTGTACTGTGGCCGATGTTCGGGGTTTCCAGGGCGCTTTGTATTGTCAAGTCGATTGGGGCAGACAATCGATTGGCCAATCAAAACCCAGAACACTAATCAAGTGACCAATCAAATCCACTCTTCGACCAATTAATCATCGAATTAACGTTAACGTTAGTGTGTTAATGAAACTAGTGTGATATTGGGCTATCTTTACAGTACATACAAAAGGTAGTACAAAGAATCAATCGATAGATTTGGCGAATCAGCACAAAAGTCCAAATGTTGGGTAACGTTAAATGGACAATATACGTACTTCAGTTGTATTACTGTATATTGTCTAATAATGTCCGGATAACATTTTGAATTCCGGATGGACACATTGCGTTTCCAAATGCAGGCAACTGCGGACGCCGTGCGACGGCGCTGGCCGCTTGCAGCAGGAGTCACAGCCACGGCTACAGCACTTGTCCTTGCGGGGTAATATCATTTTGATGTCATAATCATAGGTCATGACGAGAGATTTGGCAGCTTTCAAGCGTACACGACACCGCTGAACAATCGCGCCAAGCAACAAGCAGAAGAAGCAGCGAGCAGTGCAGCAGAGTCGTCGTCAAATGAAAGCGCTGGGACAACATTGATACCGCCAAGAACACCAAGTCCGAGGAAGCGAGGAATGACACACACGTCTGTGATCCATGCGCCGCACTTCCACTACTTCTTAGCGCCGATAGTCCTCGGACTGTTCATGGGCATCTACATCGTATTGCTCCATTTTGGCTTCGTCGACACCTCGAGCTATCCATCTGTATGGGATATAGCTGCCCGATCCAGCCTGCTTCATGTCGGCGTGTCACATGTACATAACATCCATCTCTCAGCGTTGCCCTGATGTCATGACTCTGTAGGGACTGGTGCTGTGGCCTTTCCTCACGGAAACTCCCCGCCTTCGCTTCTTTCGCATATCTGTTATGGAATGGCTGGCGTCTTCGTCCTTCATGGACATTTACGTAACCTCCCACATTTACTTCGTGTTTGCGGTGCGTAATCCCCACCGTGACTGTCGCTCTCACACTCTGTCCAGACAATAGTGACCCCCATGACGTTCTTGCTACTCGAGGCGCACTGGCAGGTCATTTCGTGGTCGGATGGCCAGTTCTACGTGTTGCTGGCGGTATCTGACCTGACAGCCTCTAGCGTCTTGTGGCATTATTACACGTTGGCGCATCTCAATTCCGGTACATTCTTCCGTAACCTTCCTTGCATCTTACATCGTCTCGCAGATCTGCGGCATCTGTGACCCCACCAGTTTCGCAGTTTTAAGTTATTGAAGGTGTAGATATCACTTCTACAGTACGAACCTCGTCGCCTGATTCAGATGTTGTGGTAATCCTATTTAGGATTAATATGACCTAATTTCAAAGGCAAACTCGTTTTTATTATTATCCGGATATCCTAGTGGCGTATTCCCGGATACGTGGGGTCAACATCCGGTTATGCCACACGTCTATTGGCGGATTCAAATCGGGCTCCACCACTTCGTGACCGTACTGTGTGTCACCGCGATGGGCACCCCCGAGCATTTCGTCGCCGTCGCGCGCCAAGCGTTGGCTGATGCGTTGAGTTCGCTACATACAACTACACCACAAGTATCCATAGACGCCACTGCCGCCGCCTTGTCGGACGTGGATGCTTTGGTACGTCAACTGCGCCAAGCCGCGGCAGTCGTCGCACAGGGCGATACCATTTTCGCCAAGTCGTACGGTGCTCTGAAGCCGTCGCAGCTGCTACCCAAAGATGTCCAACCGGAAGAGAAAACACCGTCCATTTGGTCTGGTTTCTACAACAAGACTCTCCGAGAGCGCATGGATGTCCTCTCGCTCATGTATCCTTCGGCTGTGCCACGTCGATCGAGCGATGCCGGCGACGGACAACAAGTGTCGCCTCTGCGAGCGCCTCGCAAGTCGAGTCTTGGCCAAATACCGAGCTTGAGCTTGAGCGCGGACGAGATCGGCCACTTGCCTTCTCGTACGGCCAATCTCATGATCGAGAACTGCATTGGCGTGCTCGGCATTCCGTTGGGGTACGTCTTCGTACTGATGTCGTGCAGCAACCAACTCTTCCTGTAGACTTGGTCTCAACTTCGTCATCGACGGCACTTCATACTCCGTACCCATGGCGGTCGAGGAGCCGTCCGTGGTTGCCGCCGCCTCGAGCGCCGCGAAGCTCGTCGCTACCCATGGCGGCTTCCACACAGCCACTTCCGGGAACGTCATGACGTCGCAGATTCAACTGCTGGACACCAAAGACATTCCCGCGGCCATTCAAGCCATCGTCGCGCACCGAGAAGCGTTGATCGAGTACGCCAACACGCACTTGTGCGGCAACATGGCGCGGCGCGGCGGTGGCGTCGTCCACATCTACCCCCGCCTCGTGACAGACTCGTCGTCTTTGGACAACAACGACTGGTACGCGGCTGCATCCGATGAGCTCCGCGTTATCCCGTCTGGCTCGTCCCCGTTTATCGTTGTGCACATTGACGTGGACGTTTGCGAAGCCATGGGCGCCAACATCGTCAACACCATCGCCGAGGGGTTGTCCGCCCAGGTGGCGGCGCTCACGGACAGCCGAGCAGGCCTGCGGATTCTGACCAACCTCTGCACGGCCCGTCGCGCCCGCGCTTCGTTCTCGATCCCCGTCGCTGCCATGGGCTGGAAAGGAACGGAAGGCAGCGTTGTGGCCCAACGCATCTTGGAGGTACGTAGCTCGTTCCAAGTTGTTTGCACTTCCAAACCAGTGCAATGGTTTCTTCGGGAAGGCGTCATGGCGGTACGTACGTAGGCCAATGACTTTGCCATTCGCGACCCGTATCGCGCCGTGACGAACAACAAGGGTATTTTGAACGGCATTGACGCTGCCGCCGTGGCCACGGGCCAAGATTGGCGTGCCATCGAAGCGTCGGCCCATTGCTTTGCCAGTCGAAGTGGTCGTTACACCAGTCTGTCCCAGTACCGCATTGAAAACGACCACCTTCACGGCATTCTGGAACTGCCGCTGTCGGTCGGTTCCAAGGGCGGGGCCCTGCAAACCCATCCCGGATATGCCGCCACGCACGCCATCCTCGGCCGCCCCACCGCCCAGCAGCTCAGCGGTATCCTCGTCAGCGTCGGACTCGCGCAGAACTTTGCCGCCATCCGTGCGCTGGCCATCACCGGGATCAACCAAGGCCACATGGCGTTACATGCCCGCAACATTGCCGTGGCCGCCGGCGCCCCCAACGAATTGGTCACCGAGCTATGTGGTACGTATATACACAGCCTTTTGCATTGGGTCAACGATATGTTGTCTAACACGGTTGGGTATATGCAGCGTACATGCTGGCTCGAGGAAGCATCAATGTGGAGACGGCGAAGGTGTACTTGAAGGCGCACGCTGTGTATCTTGACATCATCCAGTCCGAAGTCCAAGAGCTCGAGAAAAAGCGGCAGCCGAGCATGTTTTACGTGGAAATCAACGTGCCTGGGCTGGCTAAACCCGTGAGTGTGAACCTGGCGTTCCTATCAGTCCGAGGCGACATCCCCCAGACGATTGTCATCTCCAAGCTCAAGTCCATCGCGACGCAGCCCACGTCCATGCACGCGCAGCTGCTCGGGGACAAGGGGTACATTCAACTGGAGCGTATGTTTATGTTCTTGGCAACCATGCGCGTGGTCGTGGGCTCGGAAACGAACGACCGGACCAACTTGGAGTTGCAGAACAAGTTGCTGCTGCTGTCGATCCTGATCAACTTGGTCGCGTACCAGCTGATGAAGAAGGACAAGGCGACTTGTCAAGCGTTTGTCAACAAGTTGGTCGAGCACGGGATGGATGTATCTAATTCGTCTGTGGGGAATGTCCATTGGACCGAAGCGTTGTTTGCGACGCAAGTCGACCCTGTGCTGAGCACGGGGCTGCCGCTGCTCTTGGCGCTGTGGCAAGTGTTCCACTATCACGTCGACCAAGAAGTGTCGAATCCAGTGCTGCAGCAAGCGTTGGCGTGCGAACAAGCCGCGCTGCTCGATTCCATTGCCAACTGGACATCCCCGCAGCCCAACCCTTCCACCGATGCATCCGTGTGCTTTGTCGAGTACATGGAGACTCACGCCAAGCGATGGCAAGCCACCATGTTCTTGCTCGTCGACTGCTTGGCGCTTGACAACCAAAGCCTCACCCCTGCGCGGCTCGGGTTTGTCAAGCAAGTTGGCCGCTACATCGAGTACCAAGGCACGGTGGCCCACGACTTGGCCCGCTTCGAACGCGCGCTTGTCGACCCCGACGAACGCAATGTGTGCGTATGGTTCAAGACCCACGTCTACCCCGACAGCTCATTGGAGGAAGCATCGGTGGCCTTCACCAAGCTGAGCCGCGCTAACGCTACGGCGCAATGGACGGCGCTCCAAGAGCTTTCCCACCGACACGAAGGTGATGTCGTGCACCTGGAAGCGCTACAAGACGTGGTTAAGACGATCGTGCTGCATTATGGAGACGACGCCAGCAAAGCGCGCAAGATGTCGTTTTAGATCAAGGCGAAGATTCGAGCACGACGTGGGCGATGGTGTAGTCACCGTCATGACTCAACGACACGTGCGTGGCCTAGAAGACGCGTACATAAACATAGAGAAGTAATAAGACATGCGCATGTATGTTCCTTACCGTGACCTGGAGCGCTGCGGCCAAGTGATGGGCAGAACCATCAAACACAAGGACAGGGGTGCGGACGGTCGCGAGGTGCAGGGGCAGAAGGTGACCCATGTGCGGACGTAATGGCTGCACTGAACGTTGCTTGTCCAGCAGAATGTCTGGGAAAGGAATCCGCCATGCTTTGAAGGCTTTGTACGTGGCTTCTTTCACAGCCCACCTTCAAGGAACGTCAGTGGGGACAATCCGACGTTGGCTGTTTACCTGTTGGCGAGGAACTGGGTTTGGGCGAGGCTATCCTTGATGGAGCGAAACTGCTCGATCTCTTGTGGATGGAGATATCGTCGGAGGAAGCGCTCGCCATGCTTGTCAAAAGTCCTGCGCAAGCGGCCACTGCGCACCACATCGACACCAATCCCAACGATTGCCATGGGAAATATGATATGGTTAAAACAAAACGGCGGAGAAATATTATTCTTCATTTTTAATTTTGTCTGTATAAATGTATATTTGGCTCCATGTTGTTACACATTCTCAATCAGCATACATTTTATTATTTCGGTCCCCGACCCCACGACCCGCATTATTGTGTTCTTGACAGCCATTGTCGGGTTGAAACGTCTTGGAAGGGCTATATTTAGACGACGTAGGGTCCTTGTCAGCAGCTAGAGAGAGACCCACACAATCCTTTTCAATAACCGACAGGCATGGATCGCGTACGCATCCTATTTGGCGCTCCGTCATCGACCTCGACATCGGTGACGTCGTCCGTGGAAGCTGCGGTGGCTGCGGTATCAATCAAGATGCCCAAAGGCACGGCCGCGCCGAAAGAAGACACGATGTCAGACATGAGCTTTGGCTGCAAATCTCTCACAAAGGTGCAGCGGTTGTATGGGTTTGCCATTTGCTTTTGCGCAGGCTACCTCATCAACTTGATGGTACAGTGCCATGTCACTTCCCTTTCCACGCCACATCCGTGACGTCGCGCCCTTGTAGTCGACGTTCGTGTTGCTGGGAGGATCTCGCAATGGAGCCAAGTTTGGCATCTTGTATTCCATCGGCAGTCTTGTGTCGCTCTGCGGGTACCTCGTTGTCAAATCTGTTCAAGATTCGAACCACCTCACAACCACGTGGCATTCTTAGCTCGGGGTTCTTGGCTGGCCCTGCCGAGCAAGTCAAATCCATGGCCAACCCCGTGCGCCGCGCCGCCACTGCCATCTACCTTTGCTCGATCGTGTTTGTGCTGGTGATCGCCGTCACGGTACCCGCCACGACCGCCTCCATGTCCCTGAAACTGGATGTTGTAGAACCCGCAATTGGGCCTGTTGATTCTCTTTCTGGCCATGGTGCAGTTCGGTGCTGCCGTGTGGTATGTCGTCGCGTAGCCCCTTCAAGTACACCCCAATAACTGCGTCTCTTTTGCCATAGGTACAACGCCAGCTACATCCCGTACGGCCGCAAACTGCTCAAAACTTTCGGGTCCAAATGTCTCGGAAGCATGCAGTAACAATAATGCGCTTGATCGAGTTAGAACATAACGTTACTATCACTTAACACGAAACGAACGTCTCTATCATCTAGCGCCTACTCCTGAATGCGACGTACTTCACATATGTAGTACTGTAGTTAGTATTCCAAGGGCAGTTTGACGTTGACATGTCGAAAAATATTCGGGACTAGTTAGTATTAATACCCCCGGGACCACTGAAATACATACTCTAGGGGTGTCGAGGCGTGAAAATGTGACAGGTTTCGAGCAAACACTCCCGCGACATCCTCCGGCATGCTCAGCGCCGCCACGTGGGGCGTAATCGTCACGTGTTTATGCGACCACAATGCACTTTCGTGAGGCAAGGGCTCGATTGCAAACACGTCCAAGACGGCGCTGGATAGCCAACCTTGGTCTAACGCAGTCACCAACGACGCTTCGTCCACAACATCGCCGCGACCGACGTTGATGAAGCACGGCTTCTTGATGTGGCAGGCTTGAAAGGTGTCGCGAGAGAGGAGGTCGCGGGTGTCGATGGTGCTTGGGAGAACGTTCACAACGTAGTCGACCTGGGCCAGCAGCTCGTGCAAGTCTGTGGTGGTGGGCACAGTCGTCGCTGGTTGGGAGGACGATCGTTTGAGTCCGATGACACGAAACCCCGCCGTGGACACGAGCGACGCAATGGACGACCCGATGTCCCCCAGGCCAAGGATGCCCACGGTGACGTCGTGGTAATGGCGATAGCGCATGTCGTGGGAACGAAACTCGTGGTTGGCTTGGTGGAGCGGCGCCAAGTGGAACTTGCGCTCCTTTGAAATCACCCATCTGCCAGCACAAGAGATTAGCTTTATGTAGGTTCGCTTGATGACACTACCCCAGGACGTATTGTGCCATGTGCAGCCCCATGATGCCGCCAGCGCGTGTGAGGGTGAAGTCGCGACGCGGCTGTGTCAAAACGGCTTCCACACCCGCGAACGTTGACTGCACCCACTTCACGTTTAAAGCATACGGCAGGGCAGGAAGGACATGCTTTGGGTCGCCCAAGATGACTTGGGCGTCGCGAAGCAGCTCCAAAGTGGCGACGTCGACCGCGTCAGGTCCGGTCAACGCTGAAGTGCTCACAGGCACGATTTCAATGCGGAGGTTTTCAATCGCCGATGACGGCAATGCCGCCAGCGCTGCACGAACTTTTTCCGATAACAGCGCGATGTTTGAGATCACTGGAATACGCATGATGGCAGCCGTCGACATCTTGGATCAACTGCAAATGACATGCACGAAATCGATACTACTGTCCTACTAGTAGTATTACTAGTATATTATTTGACAGAGATTCTTTCAAATACTATTACTATTAATAGTATGTACTTCAAACTAGTGAATACTAGTATTAATATGTATGAACGGAAGTATTTATGTTAATGTAGTACTGGCACCTGGCAATGTCCGGATAAAATGAGCCGGTGTACTGTACCGTCGCTGCCCCGGAGTACGACGCCATGGACGATGACCAAGGACTGTTGCCATTAGATCCAAATCACAAGTTGACCACAACGGCGGCGGCGACGGATGATTCTTCGGAGGATGTAAACTTGGATGCAGCATATGACGAGATCGAGTACATGGACTTGAAAGTGCCTGGAAAGGAGGGATGCCCTAGGGCCGAGAAGAAGGGCCAGTCGACGGCAGATAAACGAGGTGGTCCGAAGCAGCATTCGTCGCTGACGAGCGAGATGAAGACGTCCAGGGCCGTGGCGCGCGTGACCCAACGGCTAGGTCTTGAACGCGTGCATGAGATCCAATTGGAATATGCGTCGCTCAAGTCCAAGTTTGGCGAACTCGACTACGACAAGGCCAACGCCATGATCCGCAATCTCATGGCGATGGGGTTGAGTCAAATAGAAATACGAGGCATCCTCGGGGTTGGCGGGTATCGCTTGCAGCGACTGTACAGGTAGCTACAACCATACGACCAACCCAAACATACGACAACGTGGCATTCATCGATGTGCAGTGCCCAGGCCGCAAAACCATCGCCGACGTACGCTGCCACGGACGAACTCGTGCTTCCTTCTCCGCCACCCCTGACACCGTCGACATTGCACTCTGTAGACAAGTCGGTGCACATTCCTGTGTTGTCCTCCATTCCCCATCTTGTGAACGCACTCACGAAGAAGCTGTCGGCGTTTCCGCTCGTGGCATCCCGCATTTCCTTTGTCGCTGTCGATGCGGCGGGACTATCCGTCGACTCTTCATCCTCTGCCCTTGTTGAAGCCGCCGAGATCATATTGGGGGATGCCGCTGCCTGCGTCCTCGCCTTGCCTCATACGAGACACCTCAAGTGGCTGCAGCTCACCTCTGCCACCGTCGACATCGACTTGGTTGTCCAACCCAAACGCGACTTTGCATGTACACGAGCTGGAGGCATCCACGGCCCTCACGTTGCCCAGTATGTCCTCGGGTATGACTTTTTGCTCTTTGCTTCCCAGCCACTCATTTTGAACGAACTGTCCAGGCGGATCATTGCGATCGAACGCTCATTTCACAAAGCCACTCAACTGCAGGCCACTCGAGCGTTCGACCCGCACGAGTTGACGTACCGAAGTGCGAAGGACGTGTCCGTGGCCATCCTTGGCTACGGGGACATTGGCGCGCACGTGGCCAAACTGGTAGCCGCGGCGGGGTTCCGAGTGATGGCGCTAAAGCGACGGACAGCTCGGGCCTCGTGGATGAAAGCGGACGGGGCGGGGGGGTTCGACGTGACCGACAGACTCGACCACGTGCTAGCGAACGCAGACTACATCGTCAACGCCCTTCCCTGCACCCCCCACACCCACCGCCTCCTCGCCGGATCTGTGCTGCACCTGTGTGCACACAAGTCCCCATGTTTGATCGACTTGAGTCCTTGGCATGTGGTGGACGAAGCCACCGTCGTCGCGGCCATGGAGCACAAGTGGCTCTCCAGCGCAGTGTTGGACGTCCCCGAGCCAGTGCCGCCGACGAGCCCGTTGTGGGACCACCCCCAAGTGACCCTCACCCCGCGCGTGGCGCCGCCGCACCAAGCCGACGCGGTCGCGGATGTGTTTATGCAGAACCTGTGGCATTTTATAGGCCACGCGCCGTTGCAGTATGCTGTCGAGTGGACGCAAGGATATTGAACGTGTAACAACAATAAATATACATTCATCGCTACTCTTTGGACCAGTCGAAGCGTACAACATGTTACAGTAATTAATGCAAGGTTTGCAAGTGTGTGTGGTGGATGTATGTATATAAATAGAATCGTAATACTGCTTACGACGGTATGCCGACCCACCACCGCCCGCGAGAGGACCCCCGCAAGGCGTCGCTGGCCACGCAATATGAAATGACGTCGACCACGGGCACCGCGTTCGAGCGGATGGTGGCGGACAACGGCGCCAACGTCCTCCACTGCCGCCACTTGTTGCTCAAGCCTGTCGAGATGCGCAACGTCGAAGATGTCCACATGGTGAGTGAGCACTGTTTTGGTTACGTGCACCGAATGTACTTAGTCAAAACCATGAAAACATCTCAAGATGGCAACTACGTCGTTAGATCAAACTGTTTTTTAACACGTCCAAGATTGGCAAGTATTGCACCCACCTCGACCTTCGTACGTACATACACACCCAAGTTTACGAGGACAACATGACACATTCTAACGACCATCCATTCGTGTGTGTATGGGATGTAGAAAAGGTAGATCAACCTTGAAGACACAACACAACACCTCCAGACCTCCTTGATTAAGTGATGATATATTTACACAGGAATCGGAGTTTTACAAGTCGCTCCAGTTGCAAATCGTTGACACGGCCAATACGTATGTGTTTCGGCAGGTATACATACATATAATAGCAACAGTACCCACCAAACTGTAGCTGATTCAAGAGCAAAGTGCCGTTGACGGGACTACTTAGTGTATATGCTATAGGGCGACATGGGCGACAAGTTTTACGTCATCTTTTCCGGCACTGGTATGTCCATTTGGCCATAAACGAACTGCCTTGTAGCTGTTGCTTCCATCGCAATTTTTCTTTACCTTATCGTCGCTTATGAGCAGTCCAAGTCCGCAAGTCGATTCTCAACCAAAACGGCGACAGCGTCGAGAGCGCCGTGTGCGAACTCCGTCCGGGCGACTGCTTTGGCGACCGCGCGCTCACTGGAGCTCTGAACGAAACCCTTCCCCGCGAAGGTATCGCATGCATCCTTTTCTTCGTTTGACACTGATATGTTTGTTCATCAGCTTCAATCATGACGATTTCCAACACGACCGAGTTGGCCTTTATGGACAAACTGTCGTACTCGCGCGTGATGCGGGATCGGACGTCGGAAATGCGACTTGACATGCCCAAGGTATAGACTTCCTCGTCAATCTGTCTCAACAACTTGCTGATGTTGGGGTTCTTGGCGAGTTAGTATTTATTTACCTCTGGATTAGGTGGCCGGCCTCGACGTAACCAAGCGGTTTCGGTCCAACAAAGACATTGTCCGCGCGATTTTCCTCCAGCCAGCCCACGAACGCACGGAGCGCGATTTGAAATTTGCCGTCGAGTACCTCAAAGGTAAAATAACCTCGATACTTTCTGCTTGTACTCGGCAGAGTGGTGCATGATTGACGATGCTGCTGCTGCTTGTGTGTTGTCGTAGGAGTCAAGTTCTTCGCTCGGTTTTCGTTTGAAGTCCGAAAGCAACTGTGCAAAGCCCTGCGGCTCATTTGCGCGTGGACCAATACCGTTGTGTTTGAGGAAGGCCACCCGGGGTACCACTTTTACATTATCTTTTGCGGCAGCGTCGAAGTCTTGATCAACACCACGAACCGGTACACGCTGCCTATTAAACGATATATATATATATATGTATATATATGGATGCGATTGGCATCAGATAGTGATATATATATATATAATTGTCGGTATATATTGTTGATTTGGTATAAAATTTCCGGACTCCGCCGTCCAATCGAATCACGCCAACCAAACCGGTCACGAATAGGTCTCATTGGTCATTACTCTTCGCTGATTGGCTACATTGTTTTACGTCGTGCTTCCTGCGGAATGGGAAACACCAATTAAATATCGCGGCGATATTTGTAAACGAAATGCGCAGAATTCGAAATATGTAGAAATTTCATACTTGAAGTAATATATATATATATATATTCATCTAGTGAACTAGGTACGACGCGGCCGTGCAATCGGTCGTGTCGATGCTCAAAGAAGGCGAAACGTTTGGTGAGCTGGCGCTCTCGGAAGAGGATGGCACCCGTCGAGCCACGGTGGTACGCCCCCACTCCAACCAACTGTCAACAACAATCACAATTGTACTCGTAGGTCGCGACAGAATACACTGAATTTTTGACGCTAAGCCGCGACGAGTACATCCCCTTGATCCAAAAATACCAGAATCAGTACCACACCGAGTACGTGCGCATGCTGCAGCAAAATCCGTACTTTACGGGCGACGAGTGGGACCTCCATACGCTGGAAGCGATGTGCTCGGTGATGGTCGAAAAGTACGTGCCATTCCGTGGCACAGTGTGCGAACAGGTAAAAGCAGAATTTTACCTTTTAGTTTATATCCATTTTAGTTTATATCCATTTTAATATTTCAAAATTTCCAAAATATGTTTAACCTGGGTCTGGATCACACTCCAATCTTTGCCCTATTAATATCACGAGAATTTTGTTCAAGAAGAATTTGGTTGTCACCTATTTTGGACTGTCTGGATCAAGCTGATTGTACTAAATTTACCATTCTCAGTTATTGCCAACTTTCATAAAAAGAGGTCTGTTGCTCAACCTCGCTTGTTTTGGCGGCAAACGCGATATTTGGCTGTATTCTCCAAATTTTGGATCCAGACGGAGAACTTTTTAATTTTTTGCCGATTTCTTAGAATTGCCAAAATATTGAATATTTTGGCCGTTTTGACATCTAGATACATATTTTTTAATTATTTTAAAAATATAAAAAGGTTTCTTTTTGATAATCGACACCATCAACGGGTCTCAACTTTCGCAAGGGATCGCGGGCGTCGGAGATGTTTGTGGTCGTGCGGGGGGAGTGCGTGGCCCAGTATGAGACCACCGATCCCTTTACCAACGAGGTACTAGAGTCTGTCAAGATCAAAATTGCGTTAAACTTGCACCCCCTATATATGTAGGCACTTACAGTCGGGCTTGGGCGGTTCGGCCCCAACAGTGTCATTGGATGCGCCGAGTACGTGATTGATTGGCATCGTAGTGCTCTTCAATCTATCTCACCCTGTCGCATGCGTGACGCCGCCACCTCATGCATCGTTCAATGTTAGAGCCACCGCGGGAAAGTTCAACGACGTGTTCATTCGACCGGTGTCCGTCGTCGCGACGTCGCCTGTCAAGGTCATATCCATCGATCGAAAGAAGCATTGGCTCACGAACCAGTGTGTGCAGGTGCTCGTGCTGTCGCGCTTTGATATTTTCCACCTTCTGACGCCGGAAGCGCGGGACGGGCTCCAGCGGTGGAGCTACAATGCCGACGCAGAAACCCTCGATGCCCGCGTGCTCAAGACGATCGTGTGGGAAAAATACCGGTCCAACTTTATCGCAGATTCTATGCTCTTGAGTTCAAAACCAACGGTGGTAGGGCTTACACCCCCCTGACTGTTGGGGCTGACTCACCAGCCAAGTGTAGGAGCATCGGGGCGTCGAGGACTCTTCCCAGAAACAACTCCAAAAGCATGGACACTTGCCGCCCGTTAAACAAACGACCGACATTCACGCACGGAAAGTGGTTGATTCGGGGGAGCTACAGCTAGTGTCGAGGCCCCGGCTGACGTATTCGTCGTCGCAAGGCCAGCTATCCCATCCCAGCCATCACTCGTCCAGACAACCCAAACCCTCGCCTTCGGCGGACATTCTCATCTTGGACCCGACCAATACTGGTAGTACCGTTAGCACCACTGCAACACCGGCTGCTGTGCCGTTGTCATCATCGGCGTCGATGCCAGCGTTGTTGGCGTCGTTGGTCGCTGACGCCGCCACCCCTCCACTCGTCGTGTCCGCCCCTGCTCCCCGTCTACCACCCGCCTCCATGGGCATCACGCACTTCAACCCCAAGCAGCAGCAGCAGTCGATCGTTCCATCGACTCCTGAAACGACGCGGTCCAAGACGCCGATCAGTGGCGGCAGCCACCCTACGAGGCAGTTCCTTTGGTCCCCCCTCCACGGCGTGTACCAGCCGTACGCCGTCGTGGGGTTCGGTCGGCCGGTCGAGTCGGCGGCGCCCGTGACCTTCCGAGTGTGCGGCAAGTTCCGGGACCTAGACGCCGCCCTTCGCATGTTCCACGACGTGTGCAAACTCGAGCCGACGCCTGTGAACGCGATCGAAGACCACAGCAACTTTGTCGTGTACAAGGACGGCGACGTGAGCTTGGCATTGCGCAACATGGATCGATCCGATAAACCGTCTACCGTGTCTGAGGAGGGACCCCCTGGCCCCCCCCTCGCCCAGTCGTCGTCGATGCACTCTATACCCCCCCGCCAACACTTGAATGCCCTTACCTCTTGTGCATTGAATACTGGGCCAAAGGAGTCCAGACTCCGACAGAAGCGGCATAGCGTCGTGCTTACCACGTCCTCGTCCCCCAACTCAAAACTACCGTCGGCCCATCGATTGGCGGACGACGCGCTCCCAGACAGCAGCACGATTGTGGCCGGCATCCGGCAAGAGGGCGACCCCGACGTGATGGGCCAGCGGTTCGCGTGCATCGGCCTCAAGCATCACGTGGACGACGACAGCCGCGACTTGCACGTGCACGTGTACCACTGTTTCCCCACGCACCAAAGCGCCATCCGCCACTCCAAGCAGCTTGTGGCCATGCTCAATGCGTTTGCAGATAACTGCTTGTACGTCGTGCCATTGTTTGACTGGATCCATCGACAAGACCTCGAGCGATACGAAGGTATGTTCGTGTTTGATATATATACTGTACAAATACACGAAGTATATACAGTATATATACATATATATATAGTATACGCATGGTTGTTCTTCGATTTATATATATATATATATATATATATGGTTCCTGAGTGTGGATGATCTGGAGCAGCGCGAAATCCAGACTTGGACAGCCTCTTGGACGGCAAGTTGACCATTTCCAAGTTTAGCGGGTGGAAAGCTCGAAAGGACGCTGTGCGAAAACGTCAAGGTCATATTTACCACGGATAAACAATCAATAGATGATATTTTTTTTTAATATTCAAAACATCAATATTGATATTTCGTAAGCTATTTGCTAGTCGCTAGCCCCATGGACTGATGCTCGACACAAACCCTTTCATCGACGACCACATCCCCACGGCGGGTTTGAGCACTGGTGACGACAGAAACGATCCATATTCCTATGAGAAACCAACATTCCATGAGCATCTATCTTTCCATCACTCTGAATAAAATTCATTTATATTGCCATTCTCATTGCATAAAAATAATTATATCGTTGAAATTTTATTAAAAAATACATCACACGATTTTAAAAACTCTTTGAAGGTACACAGATATAAAAATATAAAACATGGGACGAATGATATGTACGTACGTCGTGGTCATCATCGTCAGAGAGCAGAGACTCCTCCAAGTATCGCTTGTCCGGCGACCCGGGAAGTCCGGACGGCCCGGACGTTGGCTCCGGACTCGCCGCCGCCGCAGCGCCCCCTCGTTCTGAACCCCGTGGCGCCGTCATTGCGAGCTCCTCTCGCGGCCGCTTGACGACAAAGTAGACGGAAAACACGACACAACTCACGGCCACAGCCATGGCCACCACCAACTCGATGCACATGACAATCAAAATCGCATCGCGGTCGATGGGCGGCGTGTCGGGTGACGGCGGCATCGTCACGTCGGGAAGCCCCATGTTCAACACGATCGCTGCCGACAAGGACGACGACGACGTCCAGTGCGCGGACGACGGCGGCTGGCCGGACGATGTGTCGAATACAGTCACAAAATGATACTTGGAGGCTACTGTGGGGATCGTCAACGCAAACGTGCGATGCATCAAGTACCGTGCGATACCGTGCATCGCGTTCTATCGCAGAAATACATAACAACATCCGTGCAACATCTCAAGTCTACGAAGTGGCACGAATCAGTTGGCAAACTACCTTGATAAGTCCACGATATAACAGGTAGTTTTGAATCAACAACCCAATGCGGGGGGTTGGTCCAGCGGCTGTCGCGAGACCTGCCAGTATGTGATACAGTGCAAGGAGAGAGTATGTGATACAGTGCAACGAGAATGTGTGAGGACTGAGTACCGGAAGCCATGGTGGACTCTTCACACGGATAAATCGACACAGGGAACACGTCGCAGAGGTAGTGAAACGTGTTGGGCGTCGGTAAAATGTGCGAGATGAGCCCCATTTGAATGGATTCTACCCATCACAACCATCATGACCCTTGTCGACTAGAGAGACACTGTACCGTCCAACTTTGTCGCATATAACGGAAGCATGCCCGTGATGTACTTGTGGCTATTACTCTTGAAAATCTACAAGTCGAATGGAAAACAGGGATCTATCTATCTATAGACACAACCAAAAAGCACAACAGCGTACCAAATCCACGGGATCCCACAGCTCGCTTTGCAACGTCGCAGAGAGGGTCGTGACCACCGCCGCCAGGTTCTGCACTTCCACCTTGTTCGGGACGGGACACGAAAACCCGAGCTTTGTCACAGGCTGGTACAGCAACGTGGCCATTTCGGCCAGCGCCTCGGCCGACCGCAAGAAGATTGTGTTGAATTCAATGTCCACCACGTCAAACGTCGTCGCACATCTACATGTCCAATCTAAACCATAGCTTTGTGAACGATCCAAGCTGTACTTGGACGTGATGGTCGAGTTGTTGCCAACGCAGCTGGCTAGGTACAGCATGGGGTAGTAAATGTCTTGGATAATCTCGTCATGGGACGAGGCTGGATAGAACACGGCCGCTTGGGCCACAAACGCCTGGGCGGTGACCGTCGGCACCTGTAGACGACTAATCACCTACGCCCTTTGTCGTTCAAGAAAAATGATATATATCAGCATCGTCAGACTTGGGCAAAGTCGGCGGCAGCTTTGACGGACGCCAGCGCGGACTTCCAGCCGGGATTGATAGCCGCCATGCTTTCCCATGGATGCTAGAATACAAATTGGACCATCTATGAATAATTGCATATATATGTATATATATTCTGCATGGTAGTTCTGTACTCCTTGAAAGGTAAACGTACCCGTAGCGAGAGCAACGATGTGTTGGTGCGCTGTCGCGATGCCAACAAATACGCATGGAATTTGTATAGAGATGGAAACACGTCGCATAAGAAACCCATGGCTTCATGCGTGTACACTGGCGTGCTCATGGACGTGTCCAGCGGTGCCAAATAAAAGATGCGCATCGCCGTTTCGGCATGCAAGGGCGGCGCGAGGATGCCCGACGTGCTCGAATTGGTCCTGGCGTCCGACTGGGAAGGGGTCAGAGGGGAAGATGCCGATTCAGGCATACCGGTGCCGTGGATGACCCCCAAAACGCTGGCCCTGGATAGAACGTTTTGTTTGTGGGCAGCCACTTCAACGACGCACCCACGGACGGCCCGTAGATGAGGTCCGGCATGAACCCGTTGGACCACTGATGGCGCAACAAAGACCTGCATGTACAGTGGAAGACGTGAGCCGCTCGAAACAAATGCGGCACATGATCGTACTTGAATTGCGCGGTGGCTTGGCTAAAGTCTCGATGGGCCAACGCTTGCGCCGACAGCAATGCGTCGCGAGAGTTCTACACACGTTGCGAATGAGGACGAGCATATAGCAGTTTGACGTAACGTTACAATGTGCTGAAATCCAATGTCTTCCTGCGGTCCTGGAGCTGTAGCATTCATCTGGTCGTCAAAGTTGGCGGTGAGCACGGCATACGCAGCCTTGACGATCTCGTCAAACTGAGGGACGTGAGGAGGGACGTCGTCCGGGTCAAAGGTTCGAGTGTCCAGCTGATCTTGGCTAGAATACAGATTGATCGCTCGTGGCCACGCTTCGGTGAACGCCGCCAGTCCACTCAGCATCACCAGCGGCACTTTAACCATCATCTTTAACGACGTATCTATCTTCTTCGAAAGGCGGTGCAGGAAATACATAAACTTTCACAGGGTTTCACGTATCACAATGTAAACATGAGTATAAATACTTTGAAGGATAAAGCTATCTACTCTCAAATTAAGTATGGATACGGGATAGTATTTAAATAAATTGCTCAAATTTTCAGTTAATTACATGGTGCAAAGGTACAACAGGTAGGCTGTGAATTGTACGATGTACGTACGACGTACATTCACATTCGAAACGTCGCATTCGCGATCAAGTCCGGCATGCAGCCGAGCGCCACCGGCGGCAACGTCGCAGACACACGACCACCGGCGTTAGAATGGAGACCGTATGGAGTCCTGCTACTAAGTGGCAACACCAAGGTAGAAAAGGCGGCAAAGGAGAAGCTTATCACGGTGCTGAGTGGGTCGCTCACCCCTCGTGAACGAGGCGTGTTCAAGGTCGTCAAGCGGGTCGACTTGGCGCTGGACAGCAAGTCAGACCCAGATGCGTTGGCAGCGGCATTCTACAAAATACTGGACCAAGACCGCGTCGAGTACACCACTCCAAAGCCACCACCTGCCACGGCTGCGGTCGTGCCGCCGTTGGCAACAGCCCCATCAGCAGCAGCAACTCCCACAACGCCCCCCATGAACACAGCCGCCAGGCCCGCGGCGCCATCTCCAAACATGTCAAAGCGAGAAACCACGAGAAAGATATCCGCACTCGACGCTTCCGCAGAGTCGGAGCCCGTGGAGGAGGATCTGATGGCGGCCGCTGAGGTTGCGTTGGAGACGGACCTTCGCACGGGCTCGCCGTCTCACATTTATGTGTTTGTCGACTACCCAGCGACCGTGGCCGAAGTTAAAAGTACGTCGTGGCATTGCCATACCCTTAATCACGAAGAGGACTCATTTTCCACTCGTAGGCTTGGTGACGTTTAAGGTCACGAGTACTCCGCAAGACAGCGCTTTGAACCGACCCCCTACCATCACAAGTTTGATTGATGGCGCGGTTCTTATGACTGTGGCAGCTGCTAAAGACGATAGCCGGCGTCAAAGTTTAGTCAGTATTTCAGCTGTGGAGGCTACCCAAACTGCTGCTGTTGCGGCACCCGCCCCCAAAGCTACACCCCCACCGACGAAAGGCAAAAGTGGCAAGCAACCGCCGCAGCAGGTCACGCCACCTCCACAGCCAGCCCCGATCCCTGAAGCTACGGCGCCGGCAGTCGTCGTGGCTGCTCCCGACAACCCGCAACCACCAACGGCCAATGTAGTGGACATTGGGTACGTCCAATATATATAGTTTATTGAGGCCCCCTGATCCAATGTAATTTGGACCCTTTCCGTCGTATTTCATGTATATATACATGTGTAGGGAAGTCAATCGATTCTTCAAAGACGTTCAAACCGCTGCCCAATTGGGGGGATTGGAGTGGACCGACTTGACGTTTGACGTAGTTGACTGTGGGGATGGCCCCACGGGCGGGGAGGCGAAACCGCTGGTCACTCTGACCAAAGAGCTCAAGACGCTCTTGGCCAACTTGGCGGTCGACAAACTCGTGTTTAAGACGTGGCTCTCCAGTGTGCAAATCATTCCCGTGCCCACGACCGAGGTGCTGCCAGAGGCGACGCAACCGGACGCCCTCCAACGAGCATATGCCGACATCTTGGACGTCCTGTATGAGCCGAGCGTCGGAATCTCGGCTATAGTGTACGCCATGACTGAAACCGTCGTGAAATCGTTCGTCAAGCCCGTTGCACCGGCGGCAGCGCCGAGCAAGAAAAAGCAATCAACTTCCGCAGTGGAGATACCTACGGAAAAAACACCTGCGCCAAAAGTAACGAAATATAGCTCTCTATCTTCGCCTTATGCGGAAACATGTCAGGCACCGATACCCCCAAGTCCGCCTGCATTTCCACCGTTTATCGAGTACGGTGACATTGCCAGCGTGCGGTTGGCGCGAGCGCTACACCAGTACTCGACCAAACATCACTCGATGCAGGCCGGCGAGCCTCGGACACTTTTGGGTTGGTTATTAGCTAACTGGATAGAAGTGCAAGCGTTGACGTGGTTCTAGGGCGACCGTTGGATGATCTCGAGAAGAGTCTGTGGCTTCTCAATGACCTTCCTGGCGTCGGCCACGGGGGTCGCAAAGGGATGCCGGGCGTCCCAACTAAGAGTTTTGTGGAGCGAAGCATCGACGATACAGAGCTCATGCAATTTCACTCGTGCGTATTTGATGCTTTCGTGACTTGTTGACATGCAATGATCACTTAGTTTGGCGATGGCTGATGTGCACTATACACGTAAAATGATTGAATTTGAAGCTATGCTCGGGCCCAAGTGGCAAGGAAAGCTGCGGTCGCGAACGTTCCACGAACACCTTGCGCCTCACGTGTTGCCTCAAGTACAACCCGCAAACTGCTTGCCTGTACAATTGGCAATTTCATGATTTACAACGTCATTCTCTTCGTAGCGCTTGTCAGCGTTGCTGGGGTTGAACATTCGCTTAGTTAAGCGCTATTACGTTCCTGACGACACGCTGCTCTTAGCGGTGCACGTAGAAACTCCACAGGGGCGGAAAAGCGTGGCGTCATGGAGCGCAGCCGACTTTGTCCGGTACCTACTTCAGCATCGCAAGGATGTAAATCCATATCTACGTTGTAGCCACCGTCCCCCGTTTAAAGAGTGGCGGCAAGAGAACTTGCTGCCTCAGGAGTACTTGACCCCCCGCACGATCCAAGCGATGGGCGCAGTCGTATCACTTTCCATGGGGGAACTGCGTGCCGTGTCCGAGTCTGTTCAGTCGTTGTACCCGTCGGACCACTCGATCATTCAAGTTCTCCGCACCCCGTATGCGCTGAATTGGCTCAGTATTTACAAGGACACGTAAGCTCTCAACATCTCGGAATGTATGCCGCGACCTTGATGTGTAGCCATGTTTTTGGCTTGCGGCCGTCCAAGTCACTGAGTAATCATATTGCCCCTCTTCCGACCGTGCCCGTTTTGATCAAGCAAGTGACGTCTTCTCGCCGCGTCTCCGTCACGGCGACCAAGACGTCGATGCCGTCGACGGACTTTCCCATGACTTTTCACGCGAGTTTCTCCGACGATTCGCATCTGCGCATCGGTCGGGGCCAAGCCAAAACCATCGTGCTCACGTACACCGTGCCGTCAGGCTTGGTGCTTACCGTGTCGTCGGACGGAACGATTCGCCAGCAATACGCCAACTCGACGACTCATGCCGCCACCCCCAACGAACACGAAGCGTACGAACGAAGTACCTAGTGACAAGATTTGACCTTCATATCATACATAGGTACCGCGTGGTCTTGGGTAAAGGCACGGTCGTGAGTACGCACAAGGACGGGTCACAAACCATTATGTACGCCAGTGGCAAGGCGGCGACGCGACGTTGTACTTCCGACCGGTTTGTCACTGTGGACGAGCAGGGGGTGGTCACTGGTGGCGGCCCCAGTACAGTAAACAATGTCCGCGTTCATATTGACGTCGACCCTGAAACGCGCGCGGTGATGGCCCACCGAGACCACGACGAGGTTATCGTGGTCACGCATCCCAATGGGTATGTCGGCCGACTACATAAACGATGGTCGTTCTGCTGTATATGAGGCAAATAATATGGGCGATGCCAGGGCGTACTTGACGCAGCATGGGGACGGCACGCGCATGTACGGCAACGCCACCAATACGCACGTGGTAGAGACGACATGCCTTTCGCGTGACGTTATCGTGTGACGTTATCGGATGACGATGGGGGGGTAGGTGGTGCAAAAAGAAGGGTACGCTGAAGTGAGCGTTGACGTGGAAGTCAACTTGACGGCGCAACGCCATGCGTTGGGCATTCAAGTGGCCGTGACCAAGGGTGGCATCCGCACCCGCAGCGTCGTTCGGTACGCTCGTAGCTCTTTTCGACAGTGACAACGATCTTGAGCGATGGTTAGCACGGACGACGGCACGGTCATCGAAATTGACTACGACACGCGGGTCATTGCGTCCGTGAATGGTATCATTCGTCTTCGCAAGCCGGACGGCACGGTGCTCGTCGCGTCCGACAACGGCGTGGTGGAGTTTCGACCGCAAAGTTTGAGTTTGGGGGACGCCCCGCCTGTACGATCTATGATTGGGGCATGTTCTCTCAACTTGATAACATGGGTAGACGCCGCGCAGGGAAAACGAGGAAGAACTGGACACGTCGACTGGAGCGTATTACTTTAACTGTGCGACGGGAAGCTTGCAAATGAACGACCCAGAGCATAACGCGTACCATGTGGTGGTGGGTGACGGCACCGTGGAGCCTGTGGTGGAGGTGGCGTTGGCGGGCGTGGTCACGACCCAAGACTGCGCCAAGTACGACGTGCCGCCCCTTCCCGTGCAAGCTGTGGTGAACGACCCCCTCGAACCGTTCCTGCTGCTCCTCCATGGTGACGGCACGGCCACCGAAGTACACACATCTCCAGCCTTTATATATGTACGATGTAGTAACAACGCCAACAACTACTCTGTCGCAGATCCTTCGACCGTCGGACGTGGCCGACTACTTTCGGCAAGTCCAGCGCAATGCGCACGTCCAGCGCGTGCCGACCATGCCCCCTACGGGCACCCACATCTACTTGCACCATTTGGATCGATTCGAACACAACGAACGGTGGTTTGCAGACCACCACGAGCGCCGGCAATTGTTTGACCAAGTGACGATCCCAGCACGAGCTAGCCCTACGATTTTGAAACGGCTGCACAACACGGCGCCGCTGCAAGTGCCAAGAGTGCATATTGTGCGCCATATCAAGGAAGTGACTCCGTTTACGCCAGCGCAATTTGCGTCCATGGTACAGTTTTGAACGTAGTGAGTTCACGATGAGAATGTGACGAAGTGGCGGCGTAGCTGCACGCGCTCGAGGCGTGGCATGACTGGTGCGCCAAGCGCGAGATTGCCCAAGACCAGTACGCCGTGCTGGATCCCCGCGACTCGGAAACGATGGTTGCGACGATGGTAATGACGATCTTGGCACCTTTATATATTTCACTCTATTGTACGTATTGTCTAGGCAGTGCAAAAGAAGATCCAGGCCGCGTACAAGGCTGCGCGTGCGAAAAAGAAAGCCGAGCGGCAAAAGTCCAAAGAGCGCGACAAGCACGACGCTGACGGCGACACCAACATGTCGACGTTGCAAGAGGTATGGATCCTGGTAGTTTGATGTTTTTGATGGAGGACTTATACTATAAGAGCATTTTGGTTCGTGGACGATGTGTAGTATATAATTATATATGGCACTCATGGTGCATGTATATCATGGTCTAGGTCGAAAACGAAGTAGACGAAGGTACTTCGAGCGTTTCTCCCTTGTACTTGTGTGTATTGGCGACGAGTGTCGGCTATAGACGACGACGAGGACGAAGTATACCATGCGCTGGACGACAGCGACAACGACAGTCGCGACGAACTGGAGTTTAACGTCGATGACGACTACGAGCTCACGTTGAACGCGTTTGGTCAAGCTGATACGGAGAACACGGGGCGGCTCAATGCGGTGCAAAGTACGACCCCCACTTCATAACCTCGTGTGGGGATGCCACGTCATTGATTTGACGTCGTTGGTTTGAACATGTCTAGCTCGACGGGCGTTAGTGCATGCGTTGGGCACGGGGGTCACACAAGCCGAAGTGAACGCGGCTATTCCAGTGTTTACCGAGTGCGAAGACCATCGCGTACGACGTATTTGTGCGATTGGTGTTTCTCTTTTATGTGACAGAGTAAGTAGGTGACGTTTGAGGCTTTTTCCCGAATGTTGCACGCGTTCCGAGAAGACCAAGACATGGCAACGCTCGGAGACTTGCCCACCCCCCGGGGGGCGCTGCTGCCGTGGAAAATGAAGTCGCCCCGCTCGAAAATGCCGTCCCCCCGGCTCAAATTCGGCGGCGGCCACTTGGCTGCGCCATAATGATAATACAAATCTATATTGTGTATAACTGTATTGATTGCTTCAACGTTCTTCTACTACAGTACTATGCTGTCAGGGAAATGGATGGTCGCGGGCTGGTTGGCGTGGCTTGTGACACTTGGGCGTCGTCGCCGTAGTACATGTCGTCAATGTACCCTTGGAGGACATGACTCATGCTAGACCTGGCTTTGGGCTTGGCCATCTCCTCAGTGACCAGTTTGCCCTTCGTCACATCAAAGGCATCGTCGTCGTCGTCGTCGCTGTTGTCGTAATACGAGGGGAAGTATGCTTGGGCCAAATTGTGGATCACTTCATCTTCCGCGGACTCGGTCTTCCCGCGGTTGGTTGCGGCTTCCTCCGCTTCCAAAGCACGTTCCCAATCTCGATCGAGTTGGAACGTATTTTCGTCGTCGTCCATGCCATCATGCTGGTCGTGGTCGTGGTCGAGCACAATCTCGTTGGCGTCCAACGCGTTGGCCCACATGCCCATGGCGATGCGCTCCAAATACGCCGCGTCTTCCTCAGTGTATTCTAATCGGGAATCAACATCCGATTGACGGGCATGGGAAGACGAAGGAGGCGGTCGAGGAAGGCGGATAGTGTCGGATCGGTACGGTGTCGCAGCATGGAGTTCCATCAGCATGTCGTCGGCGAGCCGCTTCAAATACTCGGACAATTCCGGAGACGTGGTCGTTCGAGCCACGGAAACGTCATTCGTGTTGCGAGCCAACGGCTGGTCATTGTTTGATTTGCGGGCTTTGAACAAGGCGGCAAATGCGTTTTCATACGGTCTACAAACAAAGAGTGAATAAGCTTCAAGTATAACTGGGACGACACATCGTTCATTGATATGGGTCATGTACCGTAACTGCGACGGCCGAGAGAGGGCGACATTTGAAGTCGCAGCGCTTGTTTCGTCAGGCTCGTTGTCGTTGTTGTTTGGTGTGTGGGTTCCACCTTGGTCCGAGTGTTCCTACAGCACACATGTCACAACACCTAAACCAAAGGATGGTGATCATGCCGCACCGCCACGTGGTCAATCCGGCCGCTGTCGTTGCTTGATAATTGGGAGGATTGCGATGGCATCTTGTACCGACACATGAACGCGTTGGCCTCGTGCATCATGGCCACCACGAGTTCAATTTGCGATGCTGTGAGAACTGTCGCAGATAGGGCGCGAAAACATGCTCGGAACTACCGATCATGACATAATTGGGTTTTTCAACGATGTATTTTGTAGTACGTGCCACCTACCTCTCGGATTCGAGAATCGACGACGGCTTGGTTGCTGGACGAACGAAAGGGATGTTTGGCAGGCACGACCAACTCGTCGGGGTGGTTTTCCAATGCTCCAAGCTGTATCCACAATGAATGCACATTGTGTGAACAACAACGGCAGGTGTTCTAACAGAAGAAAGTTCACGCACCAAGTCCAAGTACTTTCGCAACGTGTTGTAGCGAATCTTGGCCTCTTTTGTGACCCGATTGCACTTCATCGTCACGTGGTATAGTTCAACGCGCCGTCCCACGCTAGTTCGGGCCGTGGACGTGCCGTGCAAGACCAGCAGGACTTGCGGGAGCATGTTGTGCCTTTTGGGAGATTGTGCCGCTTCGGAAGTCGACATAACTGATAAAGTCTACCGGGCGGCGGCTATTTTTAGACATACAGTAGTGCCCAATGGAATCGTTCAGAAATTTTATAATTGTTCTGGCCTTCCATTGGTACGAATCTTTTTTTACCGTGGAAAGATGGCAGGCTACCGCCGGGCCCATGTAATTTTGTTGCTTCCGATGCCACAGAACTATAGTAAGGGTACACAATATTCCTATGCTTCCAATTGTCGTGAGGAGCCTGGGTTATATGAGCCCCCGTTGATCGAACTTGTGAATTGATTGGACAGTCACGTCAGTCGCAAGGAATGATATTAGACTGATAAAAACGGTGTAGTAAACGTTTTCTACGTAATCAAGGATTGGGAAGTCGTCGTAGACATTCCAGCCCACCCATCGTAAATATAATGCTGCGTAGTGAATGCAGTCCTGGGGCAATGCTGGTGATGAAGGACTTTCGTCGGCTTTGAACAGAGATATTTGGATGGTTGACCCCGTGGACCATTGCGTTGTTGACAATCAAGTAACGTTACTACTGTAGTAGGTTTGAAACTGTAAAACCGTTACTTTTTGTGAAGCATACGTTAAATGGTTAGAAACACTCCGTTCTTGACGTGATCTCAGCCCTCTCGCACATAATATTATCAAGTTGCCATTGTTTGGCGGTGTTGATTCTCGTCGCAATAGACCAGGCCGTCTGAAGCTGGACAGCATTAATAGCAATATGCAAGCTGTATTAATACAATGTGCTGTTCTTCCTGGACGAAGATCTGGGATCTTGTACTGGACATATAAAATATGTGAAATTACTAATCGAACCGTTACAGTTTCGTTCATTATATCTGTCCATGTTCGAAACATTAGAGTAAAATCTAGATCAATTTGTAGCACTTGGCAATCACTGTGTACTGTGCGCTGACTGTACTATTGTTAATATCATCTAACCGTCATACAAGTGCCCGCCAGATTGCAGTAGTTGAAACGAAACGAGGGCGGAAAAGTGTTGACCCGAGCACATTGGATATACATACTCGATCAAATAAATCCATGGTGTACTAGTATTAATTTGAGCAAAAGTGAACCGGACCATATGATTGTCCGGATAACTTACCGTCGGATTTCTCAAGAGTGGGCGCATCATGAGGCGACCAGGTGTATCGATGAAGGGGAAGTCGACGATAACAGTAAACGTGTACGACATCGTTGAAAGCAACTCGTTCACCTACGGTACCTCCATCACCTCGAAAATGTCATGCAGACTAACTATGTTGACAGCATGGGGCCTTGGAGCGTTTCATTCAGGTGTCGAGGTCGGCGGGGTCGAGTACTCGTTCGCAGGCGGGGCAGGAATCTTCACGTTAGCACCCAAGTCAGCACAAGGCGCGGTGTTCCGAGAGTCCATCGACATGGGCTCGTTTGAAGGCACATATCACGACGCGAAACGGATTTTAGATGATATGCGCAGCGAGTTCCACGGGAGCCAGTACAACCTGCTCACCAAGTACAGTCGACGCTTGCACCCCTGTCAACATGTTGATCTCGTGTAGGAACTGCAACACGTTTTCGAATGAAGCATGCTTGCGACTTGTGGGCCAGCCGATCCCCCCTTTCATCAATCGCATTGCGTACTTTGGGTCGTGCTTTAGTTGTTTGATCCCCAAGCAACTCATGGGCGAAGCACCCGTGCAAGAGACCAAATTCAGCAGATTTTCACGAGCGTCGTCGTCATCGTATGGAGCAACGAACGTGCCGGTGTTTGCAGGTGCGTCCTAGCGCTTTAAGCAGTCGATCTCTAAGTGCAAACGTGTGGTACTACAGGGCAAGGCCTGACCCTCAACAGCAGCGCCTCCTCAAGCCTTCTGGCTTCGACAGACGAGAGCGACGAAACTTTGCGCCGTGAAAAGCGCGTGGCCGCAGCGCTGAAACGCCTTGAAAACAAAGAGTAGCGACCATCAATGTAGTACAGAACAGACTCGATCTGCTATTTACTAGTACAGCGTAGTGTGGTCGACTGTTTTGCATTGGTCTCGCCAAAGCTCGTTCGAAAAGAAGTACATTGCCGCTCGATCCATAGCATTCTTCTACACCCACTCGCTCTAGAAACCGAGCAACCTAGACCAATATAACGTACTACGTACTCTGCCAGGTAATAATGATAGTATATCAAGCTGTACATCGAGCACACCACGAGCGACCAAAAGACAATTTGTATGTGCAACAGTAGAGCCAACAATGGACGGATCCCCGAGCTTCAAGTATTGACGTCATATCAACACAACCTCCCAGTCATGACGATAACGCACAAATTGTACGGACACTGGGAATGTCAATAATATAAGCTTGGGTTCATCCAGGCCTTGTGCTACTGTACATACATACAACATCCGACATGGCCAAAACGCATACGCTTATATGTATGACCTTCAGGAACACTTATGTTATCCCATGAGTGTTGGAGTGTGGATGTAGCGCTCGTTTTGCACGGGTCATCGCTTGTACAACCTTGTTGACACCGACGCCGTGGGGGACGCTGGTGTGGGGGACGGTGGTGGTGCTGGTTGGTGATTTTGCACGTGATCTCGAATCGCAGCTTCGAGAATATGTCGGTCCGAGAGCACCCGCTGCCGCGCGCGTCCAACCAGCGAGTCTCGCACATGATCTTCCATGCATTGGATTTGGGCGAATACTTGTTGCATCGTGTGTATTTCCTGGGTCAGGAGAGCGTTCTTCTGCTGGGCCAACGTGCACTGCGCGTGGCGTTCGTGCACTTCGTCGTGCAGTTTCTGCAGGGCCGCCGCGCACTCTTGTTTGAGAGCCTCCCGCTGCGCCTTGAGCTTGTCGCGGTCGGCCTTCCATCGCCCTTTGACCTCGCGTACTTTTCGCTCCAACGCGTGCATCGACTTGGACTGGTCCTCGACTTGTGCCATGAGTGTCGCGTTCGTCGCTTCCACGTCGCGTAAGTGCTTGTCTTGAGCTGCTTGCCACTTTTGCTTCTGGAGGTCGATCTGGTCCAGCTGGCCCTCCAATGCTACGGCGTGGGCCTTGCTTTCACCAGCCACGGCTCGAAGATGCACCAGTTCTTCCTGCATCGGTGCTATTTGTGCAGCATGATATTGCTTGGCGGTGGATAACTCCCGCTCGAATCGACTTCGTTCTTCGATTCCTGCTTGCAACTGCACTTGCAGACCATGGATTGCGTTCTGCTGGTCCTCGAGCCGACGCTTGAGCTTCTTGTGTTCTTTGGTCAAGCTGTGGTATTCAACTTCAAACGTCGGGGGTGCTGGCATGGGTGGAGGTGGTGGTGGTGGCGTCGAACAATGCAGCTGCAGCTGCTCTTCAGCTAGTGCCAACGCACGCTTGAGAACGCTTTTCTCGTTCATCTCGACGTTTATCAGGTGCTGCATGTGCTGAACTTTGGCCGCCATCTCTCGCTCGCGATCAGCATGGTTTCTCTCGCTTGTCTTGAGCAAGTCGGCCGCCGTTGCGAGCTGCTCGCGGATGCGCTCAGTGTATTCCTTGTCGTGCTTCAAGACCATGTCATGGCTTGCGACTTTGGCTTCAGACTCCGCAACCTTTGCATGAAGCTCCGTCTTATCCTTTTCGAGAGTCCGAATGATCTCTACACGACTAGAGTAAGTTGGGATCATTTTGAACACGATAGATGGAAACGTTACTATGAAGGGCCGCGACATCCATTTCATGCCGTTGGAGCTGCAGACCCACTTGTGTATTTAGCTCACCCAGCTGACTGCACAGCAACTCGTAGTTCTGCTTGTACTTCTCCAACGTTCGCACACGAAGGGCGAGGACATCTGCGTTGTCCCCTGCAACCATGCCACCCCAAACGATGTATCTTACGTTGGTATCCGGATGTCGGTTACAGTTTCCTGCCAACGTAACCGGACGTCCGAAGCTACGTGAATTCGCTATAAACTTCCAAAATTCGCCTGGTTTATCTAATCAATATTGAATCATGCTGGATTTCTGATTGGTTGAATATACGTGTCCTTTCTGCAAGAGCCAATCAAATCTCCTCAAAAATGGATTAGCCAATAGCGTCGATTCGTGATTCGATTTGGCGGAGAGATTCGATTCGACGTGGTCTGGAAATTCGTATCGAATCCACAATATTACTGTTAATACTGTAAATAACGTGCGTGACGTACGCAGTTCTCTGTAGGCAACCCCGCAGCTTTGAGGCTGTTTGGTTGCTACATGTAAGCTTACTAGTGGTACTGAATTGCTGCCTCGACACAAGAGATGCAACTGGAGCGGATCACGTGAACTAGGTGAGGGTGCGTCCCCCGCCCAGGACGCGTTCTCAAGGCAATTAATTCCAAACACGTTTCCGGTGTACAGTGTATTCGCGGTAGAGTTCATAGGGCTGTGGAATACTAGTAATTGAATTTCCTAGGTAGACAAGTCATATATCCCTTCCTGAGCAGTGCGCATGGCTGCCGACGACAACTTATTGTGTTGGTCCAAGCACCAACTGTCGCGAGGATGATCCATGGATGTGTACAGTAAGTATATACTATTAATAGTGTATGCACGCAATCCAAATAAAACGGCAAATTCCCTTCGCAAACGTACCTTTTTATTTTTGTACTGAGTATTCAGAGTATGTTGAGATACGTACTTTAAAGAAGGGCTTCGACGTTTTTTAATTCGTGCTGGTCATCGGTATCCGGAGAATTCGATCTTGCGGTATTGTGCAAAATGAGTTCGTCGTCGCCGGCAACGGACGTGCTGGCATCCCTCACAGGGTTCTACAATGTATCGTTCCCGATTGTGATGACAGTAGTCGTCGTGCTTGGAAGTCTGAGCGGGCTGTACATCTGGGTCGCGTCGCGTCAAGTCCGTCGTCCCAAGAAACACGCGACAACCGTCGACGAATCCGCGCAACCGTCAACGCCGTTGGGCCGCCACATGCGCCGAATGCATTCGTTCAACGAAGCCGATTTGGAGATTGAGGTGAAGAAGCAGAGCAAGAAAGACGCGGACGAACAAGCGGAAGAAGGCGGCGACAAATGGACCGAGACCCAAGGATGGAGTACCCATCAGTTGGAGATGTTCAAGGTGCTGCGTCAAAAGTTCTTTTCCACGTCCGACAGCAAATTCGTCGGCGAACTCATTGGGTAAGTGTGTGTGTGCATGTACCCGCCTCCCTATCGTCCATCATCATGTCATGTAGGAACGTGCAAGTGCTGACGTTCCACCAGGGCGACGTGATCTTCCATCGCCGCGAGTACGATGGGTCACTTCTCTTCGTATCATCTGGTAGTGTGTCATTGACAGCATTCCACGAAGACAGATCATTCGTCCACACGATCAAAACGCACGAAGGTGTGACGTCGACGTCGGCCATCCTCCGCGGAGTCATGGAGGACGAGGTCGATGCCATGGAGATGCAAGCGGTGGCGGCGGAAACCCCGACGCTCGTGCTTCGCATTGGCGTGGACAAACTCAAGTCCACCGTCTCCAAGTATCCCCAAATCGCCATCTTCCTCGCGCACCTGTCGCTTTCGCAGCTCGAGCGCATCACAATGCGATCGCTCGTCGATTACTTTGGCTACCTGGACGACCTGTTCATCCCCAAGACGTACTTCGACGTGCGGACGGACGACGCCGCCGCCGTCCGGGCGATTTCCACGGCGCTGGGTCTCGACTTTGCCGAGTCGCACGCCCGATTTGCCCACGCGACGCAAATCCGCTCCCTGGCGGACGGGTGTCTGGTGGAAACGCCGTCGGACGAGGGCGACGGTGTCGCAGACGTGTACTTTGTGCTCGAAGGCGCGGTCTCGGTGGACATTTTGCTCTGCCATCAAAGCAGCAGCGAAGACCAGTTCGTGACCTTGTACACTGTTCCACCAGGGTGCTGCCTTGGCATGGCTTCCGCCATTGTCGGCAACACAGGTAATATATACAACGCATCCTGCATTATTGTGTATTGAGGCGGATACGTCTTGAAAGAGTTTGCATGGCTGTATAGATTTATATATATATATATATATATATATATTTACATGGTTTTACATGTTAACATAGGATTGCTCAAAGCTCGATCCGTCGTGCATGCAAAAGCCGTGGGGCGCACACGGGTCGTCCAATTGAATGGCGAAGTGTTTCGAACGCTATTGCAATCCCATCCCGCCTTTTTCAATCGGTATATATATAGATATATATACAAGTCTTTCTACTTCTACGTAATACATAATATATACATGTATTTCTACGTATAATATATATATATATATATTCTACAAATAGTTATATATACACACTTCAATACTAATGCGCTCGTTTGGAGCTTGATGAGGGCTCCTATGGACTAACTAGTATTGGACATTACGATCCCGTTTCACAAATATACTTGTATCTCTACAAATACATACTGTATATACACACGACAATGTTAATTGTTCATTTTGGAGCTCAACCCTATTATTGAACTGACAGAACTCCAAAAATGTATAGAAGAATCGGCAGAAGAATTTAGCCAATCAGATTCCAGGAAATCATCAGTTCAACCAATCAACAGATAATTAGTGTGATGGGGCATTTCGCTGGCGTATTTTTATATACAAAATTCAGTACGAAAAATCAATCGATGGATTTGGCAAATCAGCACAAAAGTCCAAATTTTGGCTGAAAGGACAATATATATTGGTTCTTTTGCGATCTCCCATATGACTTCAATCTTGCCATTCGTAGCTGTGTGCAGACTGTGGTGCGGCAATATGGGTCGCAAGTAGCCCTACTGGACAATTTCTTCGAGTGGGTGCATGTGGACAGCGGCAACGCCGTGTATCACGTCGGCGACGCGTCCGATTCCATGTACACGCTGCTCACGGGACGCTTGCGTGAAGTTCACAACGTACGACAACCAACGTAGAAATACAGGGAATGAATATATACCTGCGAAATATATATAATATATCTAAGAGGTATCTTTGTGAGAATGAATATTGGTGCTCAAGAGTTCGTTGTATGTGTGGTGTAGCAAGCCAGCAGCACGGGCAAGGTCGTCAAGCACACGAGAGAGCTCGTCAAGGGCGCGACGTTGGGGGCCATGGACTTGCTCGCGTCGAGTAAGCGGTATGCTGTCTACGTTTGTGCCCCTCTCTGTGACGTGGTTGGTGTATGTGACGGTGTACAGGGCGTCGACGGTGTATGCCATTCGAGACTGCCAGCTGTCGAAAATGCCGCGGGTGGTGTTGGAGTACATGCTGCGTGCGCAACCGCAAGTGTTGATTCACTTTACCCGCGAAATGGCCATTCACAACACCGACAAAAGTACGCTATATATATATGTATCCTTGGTGGCGAGACCATGCGACACTGATCACGTGTCAGGCGACAGCGAGTTTGTGTCGAATTTGGCAACGCGATCGCCCATGGAGTTACCTGTGACAACGATCGCCGTGCTCGGCGGAACCAACGGCATCGACGTGCACGAGTTCACGACGGCGCTGCACAAGGCCCTGCATACGATTGCAACGACCGAAGTCGTGTCGTCCAAGAAGGCGGCGCTGCATTTTCGCGGCCAGTGTCGCAGGCAAGTCTTCCCTCGTCACAGATCTCGGTTTGAACGTGTGTAGTCTGGGCATGTCGGCGTGGCTGGCGGAGATGGAAAGCTCGCACCAATTGGTCGTGCTCGAGGCAGACGTAGGACTGACGCCATGGACCAAGCTGTGCATCCGCCAGGCCGACCACATCCTGCTCGTGTGCAAAGACACGGACCACGAGCTCGACCTGAACGACCTGAACGCGTTGCTCCATCAAGCGTATACGATCAAGAACGTCGAAGTCAACATCGTGCGCATGAAATCGACGCAGGCCAACGTGGCCACCGCCATGCCGCCGTTTCATCAGCTCGAGTACGTCAACTACTTCCACAATATCCGAGTGCCGCTGCAGGATAACCCGAACGACTTGCTGCGTGTGGCGCGTCGGTTGACGGGGCGGTCCATCGGTCTTGTGCTCGGCGGCGGCGGCGCCCGCGGCCTCGCGCACATTGGCATCCTCAAGGCGCTGGAAGAGTGTGGCCTCGACGTGGACGTAGTCGGCGGCACGAGCATGGGCGCGTTCATCGCGGCGCTATACGCCCAGCACCCCAAGGACCTGGCGCGCGTCGTCCAGCACGCCAAGCGCTTCTCCAACAAAGCTGCGAGCAAAATCGCCAAGTTGTGGGAACTCACGCTGCCGATCGCATCCTGGTTTGACGGTTCAGGGTTCAACGCTGGACTGCAGCTCGAGTTTGGCGCAACGCGCATCGAGGTACAAAAACTCGTTTTAGTGTACATTATGCATTGAAGGGGGGGGGTATGAGTATGGGATGTCGATGAGCTGAAGAATGGCGTGTAGGACTTGGTGCTGAATTTCTTTTGCATTTCCACCGACATTGTCAAGAAATGCACGGGGGTGCATCGCGCGGGCACGCTGTGGCGATACGTGCGCGCGTCCATGTCGTTGCAGGGGTACTTACCGCCGATTTCCGAGCCGAATGGATCGCTCTTGCTGGATGGCGGGTACGTGAACAACCTCCCCGCGGACGTGATGAAAGAGGAAGGTGTCAAGATCGTGTTTGCCGTCGACGTTGGCCGCGATACTACGCGCGAGTACTTTCATTATGGCGACTCGCTGTCGGGGTGGTGGGTATTTTGGAATAAGGTCAACCCGTTCGCGCCCACGGTGCAAGTGCCGTCCATGGGCGAGATCACCGACGCCCTTGCGTACGCTGCGTTCTACCAAAACAAGGATTACGTCATCAACCACTACGTGGACCTGTTCTTCAAGCCCCCGGTCCAGGACATCGGCACCCTAGACTTTGACAAGCTTGAGCTCACAGTGCAGATTGGGTACGACTATGCACTTCCCAAGATCCGCGACTGGATGAAGAAGAACCCGCACTTGATTACGCATCTTCGCAAACATCCCCCCCAAGCCCCCAAACCACATCGAAGCACTGCCATGCGATAAGTGAGTTACTATGTATCGTTAACGAGTTGGAACCGGATACGGCAAGATAGCGCTAATGAACCCTGCGATGAGGTTCTCCACGGCTCGATCGACCATGCGATGTCTCGTTGCCACGGTGGCGGACCCAATGTGCGGCACGACAATGCAGTTGGGCAGGTCGTACAGCTAGGTTTAATACAGTATACTTGTCAATGTTATGAGAAAGAGCATTGTTGGGGGCAATGGAGGTAGAAGATAGACAGGCACACGTACGCGGTGGTCGAGGGGCAACGGTTCAGGCACCGTGACGTCCAGTGCGGCCGCGGCAATCTGGCCGCTGGCCAAGGCATGCGCGAGAGCCTCTTGGTCGACGATGCCTCCCCTGGCGGTGTTAATGAGCACCGCATGTGGCTGCATGAGCGCAAAACACGACGCGTTGAGCATGCATGTCGTGGCTTCGTTGAGCGGCGAATGGATGGACACGACGTCGCTGGTCCGGAGAAGCGTCTCCAGGTCCACAAACTCGGCGTCTACGTCGTTGGGCTTTTCGCGAGGCCCCGTGTACAGAATGCGACAGTTAAATCCGCGATGCATGAAGCGGGCGTACGTACGCCCGATTTCGCCCATGCCGATGATGCCAATAGTGTTCCTGGACACGTCTGTGCCGCAGAATCTAATGATTGCATTGAACATGCGAAAAACATGGAGAGAACAAGGACGGACTGGTACATTTGCACCACACCCCATTCGCCGTTGCGAGCTCCTGCGTAGCTCTCAAAGAGACGTCGCTTGGCCGCAAACGTCAACGCCACGGCGTGCTCGGCGGTAGACTCGTAAAGGCACCCTGATGTATATATGTTGTAAGTGACATAGAAAGGTCACGGTGATGACATGTACCAGGCGTGTGCCCTACAAGGATCCCTCGATCGCGACAGCTCCTGACGTCGATGTGGTCGAACCCCACAGAGATCGTCGAGACGACCTTGAGCGACGAACCAGCACTGTCGAGAACGTTGGATTCGATCTTGTCTGAGATCATGCAGATGATTCCAGCACAGCCCTTCGCGCGTGCCTCCAGGTCACCTGGAGGAATCGCTGTTGTACTCTGTTCAAAGCAGTCGACTTCAATCCAAGGATGTTGGGCAAGCTTTTCTGTTCACATCACGGAGAGGAGTAAGCTAGTCACGTTGCATGAGCCACCTAGCCGACTTACCTAGCAGGTATGGGTTGTGCCTGGTCACAAGCACCTTGTGCGTAGTCTGCTCGGACTGCATCGTGCGTCGTCGAATCATACACTTCTTTCGGAATATCTCACCATTCAATATATGCGAGTTATCGTTCATAATTAGGTTATTTATGTAGTACAGTACTAGTAGTAATTGGTGAGAAACAACTATTTCGTACACCTCCAGGAAAATGTACTAACTTACGTAGTGCTCTGAATTGTAGTAGGATTTTAGTGGCGAAAACGATGCGGCGACGATTCTCCAAGGCGGTAGCGCAAGTGTTTGTCCATCCCAGTGCGAAAGTAGATGCGTCAGCGACGCTATCGCCGTTTGCTGTGGTGGAAGCCAATGCCATTGTAGGCTGGAACCACTCCTTGGATATCTGTGTAGCGATGACCTCTTGGGTAGATCCATGCCAATTGCATAGTCGGACCGGGAACTGTCGTTGGAGAACGCGTGGTCCTTGGCGAAAACAGCAACATTGGTATGCTGAGAAAGTGAGTTTATTGCCTTCGCTCACCTTTCCAGCACAGGCAGCCATGTCACGTTAACAAACTGCATCGTGGGGAAGCGCACCGTCATCCATGCAGGCGCGCGCATCGGCCAGGTGCACATGACGACCACGTCATGTCGATTAACAGACGCGGAATGGTTGCTACTAGGACGGATTCGGCTTTCTCTTGAATGACACTGGCGAACATGCAAAGAAACCCCAGACGCTCCTCGTGGAAATCCACGACGACGTCGAGATCGGGTCCCATTCCATCCTCCTTCAGGGTTTCGCTCACGCAAAGCGTAGGGCCAACACCACCATCGACCGCGGCAGTTGGCGCAACACGATCATTGGAGTCGGCACGAAGATGGACAACCTGGTATGCCATATCCACGTGGCTTGTTGCACCCTTCATGGGGTCGGTAGATTCAAATCGGACACAACGTGCACATTGGTCAAGGATGCGTGCTGGCCGCGCAAACGGGGATCGCTGGTATCCCTTGAACGATGTCGCATGGAATCGATGGTGTTGCCTGGATGTAGGAAGCACCACGTTGGGCAATCGAGTGTACGTCGGAGGCCAAGTGGGCATCACGCAGCACTTGACCATTGGGGACAACGTCCGCATTGCAGCCAAGAGCGGCGTCATGCACAACTTGCCGTCCAACGCCACGTACGGTAAGGTGTCTAGCCAGTACACTTGTAATGGTGTTGTGAATCGCTGCTGAATGCATTAAACACGTGAATGGGCGCAGGGGGCGTGCCAGCGATGCCAATCATGCAATATCGCCGCCTCTTGGCACTTCACCGCGAAAGTTCTGCGAAGAAATCGCCGCCTCCATCAACTTAAAAGCTGGATACATGCGAAGACTACTTTCTGTGCGTTGCATGCACTTGGACCAATGAAATCCCAATCGAGGACAAATGCACTATATCGTTTGCTACATTAAAGCATGCTAGTAGTATTCTACCGTTGACGGATTTGGCTAGCATTTGATATGGGCACTTGCGATCTCACATGTCCATACCATGGTACTGAATTTTAAATCTCCAAGTCTCACACACTGCTACATGTTCCGACTACGCGGGCACATAGATTCGAAGTAGAATTGTCCATTTAGTTACCCCAAATTGGTTGACTCTTGTGCTGATTCGCCAAATCTATCGATCGATTCGTTGTCCTGACTTTTGTATGTAAAGTTTGTCCAGTATCACACTAATTTCAGTCACATACTAATCCGGATAAACATTATCCGGAGTTTTGGTATTTGTCGAAGTATACATTGCTGCTACAGTAGCTGAGTAGGCCTGCGCCATTCCTTCGCTCCATTCATATTCATGCGAGTGTTCTGCAAAAGCGGTCCCTTGATTTGATCTCAGTAGTACTCCCGGTAGTACTGTAGTGGTTTCATCCAAGCCATTTTGTCCGGATAAACGTTGTTCGCGCATGCGCCTGTAGAACAAAACCTCCAGTACAGTACTGATGCATCCATCGTTCGTAGTCGACTATTTGTGCAAGGAAGGAAGGGATTTGTGTCTACATAAAGGAGCGAAATGAAGGCAAATGCACCATTCTGTCAGTGCAACCTCTATGTAGTGCGTGAAGGAGCTCCATGTGACCATCCAGTTGTTGCGATTCTTGAGGACGACTATTCAGTCAGATTCCATGGTAAAGTTTGGAGGCCAACGATTGGCTGCTGTGAAACTCGATGGTGTCGTATCTTGATTAATTTGAAGAGGTTTTTCTTCTGACTGTTGGTTTGTGGTCGCAGGGAGAACTGAAACAACGAAGATGGCGGACAGTGGCCACCACGACCAGTCCGTTCCCTGGACGGAGCACACGGCTCCCGATGGACGCAAGTACTACTACAATGCGCAGACCGGCGAATCCACGTGGGACCGACCTGCCGAGCTGAACACTGGCGGCGTGCAACATACTGCGGTTCCCACCGCTGCCGCTGCTGTGGTGAACCAACAAGTTCGCCAACAACAGCAAAGCCTCGGCCAAGTGGCCAACCCCCAAGCCCAACAAGGTGTTCCAGTCGCTGCTGGCATTGGCGCTGCGGGCCAACAACCTCAACAACAGCAACCGTACGGCGGTCAGCCTCAACAGTTCATTCAAGGCGGTGCTGCGTACGGGGCGCAAGGATACCCACAGCCGTATGGAGCTCCCATGGGCTACCCTCCGTATGCGCAAGGTGGATACATGTATCCTTATCCTCAGCCTTATGGTACGACATCCATTGCTACCTTTTCCTGCTCGACATTCTCAAAGTGCTCATCGTCAAACTTGCAGGATACGCGCCGCAAGTCGCGGGTCCAGGTCCTCCCATTCAAACGACGGAAAGTGGACAAGGTACATTACATCTACTCCACACGATGCCTCGCGGTCGTCGAAAGGAGATGACGCTCCGCCGTCATCCTCTGTCGTCGATCGTCGTGGCATTGTGCGGCTCCATGATTCCCTTCATGTTGTATAACTATATGTGTGATTGCCAGGGCCCCCTGGATGCAATTTATTCGTGTTTCATATTCCAAATGATATGACCAACCAGGACCTGTTCAACTACTTTCAAACGTTCGGCAACGTCATTTCCGCCCGCATCATGGTCGAGAAAGAGTCTGGCCGTTCGCGCGGGTTTGGTATGTCATCGTGACACCTTATGACTTGATCACGTCACATAATGTTGGCAGGGTTTGTCAGCTACGACAACGCGCCGTCTGCGGATGCCGCCATCAAAGGCATGAACGGGTTCCAAGTCGGCCGAAAACGCCTGAAGGTGCAGCACAAGAAGGAAAAGGGAAGCGGTGGGGGGTTGTACGACGACGACCTGGACGAACAAGCGTCAGTGGCACCCCAGTAAACGAGTCTTGCATGCCTCGGGCGAAGCATATCGCATGGAGTGGATGCGGCAGTGGCGTTGGTTTTGATTTGCATCTTGCATTGCGGGCCGGAGGTTCCTGGTTCATGCGTCCTTCATATTGCCTAGTCTATATGCAACGCCGTTGTAGCGTCGCCCATAGTTGTAATTTCAACCGTGGTTGTCGTGCAAGTGTTGTTGATCTTCCAAACCACACCAATCGACCATTGGTGCAATATGCCTTGAGTGGATTTGCGATCGGTGCGTTGGCCCCACTGCTTTTCATGTTGTCGTGGACGTGCAGCCTTCTCGTGGGTGGTTGACAGACGACGAAATATTGAACCAAATATTCGAAATATTTATTGGGCAGAAATAACACGGGTGTGACCCTTTCGAAACTGTTGAAATCTTAGGAAATAAATACATTAATATTTCCACCCCAGTTATGGGATGGATGTCCAATCCCGCAAAGCTTGACTTGGTTCTGGTGCTTCCAAGCGACTTATGTCAACAAGCATATCTACCTTGGTATATTCTGGTGCACCATCGTTAACGTGGATGTGCTCTCTCTATACAGACAGTACTTTATTATTCAAGCGACTTTTGTACAAATAAATTTATGTGTCGCACAACTTGCGTAGGTTATGCCAACGGGTGAGTGTTGTAGCCTACACCATGACATGTGATGAGTCGACTCTTGGGGGCGTCGTCGACTTGAAACCGTGCGCCAGTGATCAATTCAAGGACGTAGATCGCAGCTTCCACGTGCTGGCTGGCGGCCTGCCGAGGGATGCGCAGTCTCGACGTGCCTGCTGCCATAGCCATGTACACGAGCACATTGTCGGCCAAGTGCTCGTCCACGCACGCTTCGCCATCCCACACGCGCCCTAGCTCCGCCACCACATCCGCCACGGCTGCCTCTACTGACTTTGCTGGGCATCCGCCTGCCGTCAAGAGATTGCCGTGTTCCAACGACATCGTCACATGCACAAACAAGGTGGTCCCCTTTTTGGTCCTCAGGCTGGCGTCCACCACTACCTCGTCAGTCCATTCCACGTGGCTGCCAACACCAAACGCAAATCGAAATGCCTTGCGCAGGGCCAGGACAGCGTCGTGGCCGTCCGTTTCGGCGGCGCATGTGACGCGGCATGAGACATGGTGCACCACGCGGGACGGCGTGTCCACCACCAACGGACGCAACGGTAACGTCACACTTCGACAAGTCACGGTGACATTCCCCCCTCCACAGGGCACGAACCCGCGACGAGTCATCGTGATGCCAACATGCACCCCCATGCGATCCAAGACGGGGGCTAGTCCAAGCTGCATCCAATCGACGGTCGGGGCGAACGAGCTGTGGGTGCCGCCTACCAACGTCAGCTCGACGGCATTGCGTTGGGAACTTAACACTAGGAGGGGCAGCACCCCCTGCAGCACCAACGTCACGGCCCCCGCCGTGTCCATGGCGGCGTGAAAGGCGGAGCCGTTCAGGACAACAGGTCCACTGGTCGACGACTCGTCGTGCACCAGCTGCGCCCGCGTCGACCGCAAGTGGAGACCGTGCAGCGTCCACGTCTGACCCATCGACTTCAACAGCGTAAGCCCGCACAAGTGCTGGTTGGCGAGGCCAGGCTTGGGTCGTCCTGCACGGATGCTGTGGATATCAATGTTCTTACGGAGCAACGCAGCCAAGGGAAACGCGAGTCGGAGGATCTGGCCGCCGCCTTCCAGCGTCGAACCGTCCACAGAGATGACATCCCCCTTCAAAGAAGGGGCAAGGGGGGCCGGGGGCGGTTGAGACGACTGAGGAGGGGCGAGGAAAGGTGGTGGCGGGTGGTTCAGGATGGTACTGTCCAGATGGAAGAAGCGCGTGGCGTTGGCTGTGGTGGCGGCCGCGATGTCGGCGGCAGGAAGGCCCATGCTGTCGGCAATGGTTTGGACGACGGCGTGGACGTGGTGGGGTTCGCATCGTTGTTTGGCTTGAGAAGGGTGCATGAATGGAGCATCCGTCTCGACCATCAGTTGACCTAATGGAATCAGCTTCACGGCTTGGCGCAGATCATACCCCCGGCGAGACATGCACACAAACCCCGTCAGTCCGATGGAGAAGCCCAACCGGACATATCTTTGGAGCTGAACTGCATTTCCAGTGAAGCAATGGACGACTACGTGGGATGCATGCAACAACCCGGTTTCGAGGAATGGAACTAGCACCGCGAGGAACTCGGCATGGGCATCACGTTCGTGGCAAAAGAGTGGCAAGCCGAGGTCGCATGCCAGCTGGATTTGCTGCCGAAACACGGCGATCTGAACATCACGAGGGGAAAAGTCGCGGTTGAAATCCAAGCCACACTCCCCCACTGCCACTACAACGTCGCGGTTTGCTTGAATGAGCGCCGCCTGTTTCACCGCAAAGTCGGGACTGGCGTCCTTGGCAGAATGTGGATGGATCCCTACTGTGCAGAAGAGGCGAGGGAGCGGGATGTTCTGGCGCGAGCGGATCGTTGCTATCGAGCGCTCGCTCAACTTGAGGTCGGTCCCAGTCGCAATAATTGTGTGCACGTTCTCGTCTGCACTGCGCTTGAGCACTCGCGGTAGGTCCTTTTGGAACTGTCTGTTGAGTAGGTTCACGCCAATATCAATCACAGTTCCAGTGGCCATCGCTGCTGTACAAAATTGCCAACAAATCTGAAAATGTCGTGACCATTACTAGTATTATAGCGCCACGGTGACCAGCACTCTCGTAATAATGCAAAGAAGTTTCCATAGGTTAAACTTGAGAGTGAAGGTTTCGTAAGGATTGGTAAACTGCCTGGGTTTTGTGTGATGATCGTGTGATGGACATCAATACCGCCAGCTTGGATGTTTTGCAAACGATTCCGGGCGTTGGACCGACACTCAGCAAGCGCATTGTCGCGAGCCGACCCTTCCACGAGCACGTGGAGCTGCTGGCAGTGCCAGGCATAGGCCCAAAACGATTCGCTATCCTTGGGCAACACTTGCTGCCATTGCCAGCCAAAGCGACAGGATCAAACACCCAAGATCGTCACACAAGCTTGTCACCCAAAGAGGCAGTGATTCCAGCATCTCGTTCGTCAGGAACTCGTCCGTCAAAGTCATACGACCTCCATAACACGACGTTTCCACTTGCATTGAACCATGCGTCGATCGAAATGTTGCAGCTCATTCGAGGCATCGGACCCGTCCTCGGCAGCCGCATCATCCATAGCCGCCCATTTGCCACTGTGGACGAACTGCAGTCGGTGCGTGGCATCAGTACGACGCTGTTGCAGTTCTTTCGCCAACACCTGACAGTGCTCCAATCCAATCCTGGTAGTGGCATCGTCATGTTGACTGCGCCATCCAACGCAACATGCTGCCTCGCCTCTGCATCGTTCTGTGAACGAGTTCCCAGATGTCCCAGCACCCCTCGGCTGCTCTTGGCTACGTGGAATATCCGCCACCTGTCCAAACATCGACCTACATCATCCTTGCATCGCATCGTGCATGTTATCTCGCGATTCGACGTTGTCGCCCTTCAGGTAGTCCGATCAACCATCTCTCAATGATCTATCTCACAGAGCGACATCTGCAGGAAGTCCGCGATGTCATGGTGGTGAAGCGGCTGTGCGCGCTCCTTCCTGGCTACACCTACGTCCTGAGTCCTCCACTTGGCACGACCACGACCGAGCATTTTTGCTACTTTTATCGCAAAAGCCTTGGTTTTCAAGCCACAGTCGTCGACTCGGACCATAAGTCCATGGCCCGCATGCCCTTTGTCGTGCAGTTTCGCGGGAATGGGCCGTCGTTCGTTCTTGTGAACGTTCACGTTGTGTTTGGGCGGCGCCATCGACGGTTGCGCGAGATTCAAACCCTCCACCGACTGTTGACCTCCCTCCGCGATTGCTCGTATGACTGCCACGTCATCTTACTCGGCGACTTCAACTTGCCCCCGTTTGACATTGGCCCTCTACTCGGGGGGTGGTACCCCCTTTTCAGACCCCCCGACACGACCACGATTTTCAACAACCTGTACGACAACATTTGGCTGCCGGACTCGATTTCAAAGGTGGCCCGTGGAGTCGTTCGCGTCGACCACGAGTTCTACCCCGACACCAAACACTACCCGTACACGTCCACCCGAGCCCTCAAAGCCCGAAGCCAGTGCAGCCAGGAGCTATCCGATCACTGCCCCGTGTTTTTTAGTCTTAGTATGACTGACTGTAAACATGCTCTTAATAGACAACGAACGGACGTATATCTGCGGATATTTACATTTGGCCGCTGGTTTGCCGGCCACTCGACAAGGACGAAACATATGTGACATCGTCAAACCGGCTGGGTGATAATGCGGCAGCATACGACGCATACGGAAGGGTCGAGTCGTCCACCCCCTTCCCTGGAGCTATGTCGCCCATGACAGTCGCGGCCAGCACTTCGCCTGCCGCGGCGCTAGACCTACGACGTATGAGTGTCCTCAACATGATGAGAGGATGCGTACATGAGGCCGACGCCAGTCATCGCAGCTTGAAAGAAAAGCCCATCGACCCCGTCTTTCGTCCTGCCAATCAACGGGATGTTGTCTGGCGTTTTGCAGTAGTACCCTCCATCCACCTAGATCGACACCATTTCACAACTCCGACAAGTTAGTTTGACAAGTGAACACTTACGTTGAGGGTGGCCATAATGTGCGGGTCCGCGGCGTACGACGCCATCTGAGGAAACAACCGCGACAACCCCCGCAGACAAATCTCCCCATACCTGACAACGAAGCATGCTTCAATCGACATGTATATTACACTGTACTAGTACAGATCAAGGAAGAAGACCTGGGGTCCAATACTCTGGTCAGAGGGAACACGGGCTCGACAAGGTTGACGTCGTATGTCCACACAGCCATCGCCTTTCCATCAGTGAATGGCCGCACATGTATGCCTAGGAAGGGCACCGTGTCACACATTGTTTGTGATAGTACACTAGATTCATGATTCAAAAAGTCGTTGTCGTATATGACGTTAAACGTGACGAAAAGTAAAAGAAACGTATATACATGCGATACAGTACCTCCTGGGAATGATCTAGTACAAAGTGGGTCGTTGGCGTGAACTTCCGCCTCGGAAAACTGCAACCACGAGATTCGTTGGCACTTGTAAATATACAATATTTCCAGAGGCAGTTCCATCGTGTCTATATTGATCATAACAACGTCTCACCTGCAATCTCCCGACGGGGTCGGCGTGGAACGTTAAGGGCGACGTGGCCGTGGCAATCTGCTTGGGGTCATCGAAGATTACTCGCGCATGCAGCTCGTGGTGCACTGTCAGCGCGGGGGTGTCGACCAAGTCCTTTGCCCGGAGCAAGTGAAGGGTCTGTTGTAGCATTGGGCCTGGAGCCAGCACAAGCGCCGCAGTGTCCACGATCTCCTTGTCGCCATTGGGCAGGCCCACCGTGATGCCCGAGATGCGACCGCCGCATGCATGGATGTCGATCATCTTCCCTCGTAGCGTTTGAGCCTGTGGACAGAATGCGTTGGCTTGCGACAACAGGTGTTGAGCCTACATTCCAGTGAGGACGAAAATGGCTGAAAGGACTTGGGGAGCCAAGCCATAGAACGCACCAACTTGTGGGGGTTTAGCGACCCCGCGCGGCGCACGTGAAGCGCGGCCAACGCGTTCGAATGCTTGAGCGATGGAAAGAGTGAGGCAATGTTATCTTGGCCCCAGATCAAATCGCTGCCGTCCAATCGATCCGCAACACTAGTCGACGGATTGTAGCCACTCAATTCGTGGTGTTCGCGAAACGCTCCACCGCCAAGCTGTGCGTTGCGCTGGCCTTGGGCCTTGAGCGCGTTCACGCAAGCTAGGTCCCTCGTCACAAACAGGTACCCGTTGCGGTTTAGGTCGATGTCGGACGCGACGTCGTCCATGATGTCAATGGACCGCGACACCAGCCGCATCATGGCTTCGTCGCCTTCGTCCGGCCACCAGTTTCGGTACTGGTACGTCCCCCGGGCACTTGTGAGCGACATGGGGCCGGTCGCGTCCACGAGGAGTGGCTTGAATGATGATGCTGTGCCGTCGCCGGGGGAGCCATTCCTCTTCGCTAATCCATAGTACGCAGAGCACCCGGCCACGCCGGCTCCGACGACCACAACGTCCGCCGTCATCTTCCGAAGCATCGTCAAAACTCGAAATGTACTGTACGCGGACGTGGCGATCTTTGTGTTGAAATCAGAAGCTTGGACATTCTGGATCATAGTTTTGACCAATGAAATAACGGGAATGCCTTCAAGGGACGCGTTCTCAAAAGGTACTGTATCGTATGAAGGCGATGACGGGGTCACACTTCTATCACTGCTGAAGCATTGTGCAGTACTATGAGATGGTTGAGAAGCATGATCGTAGCTGCAGCGTCAATGTACAGTGAATCGAATTTACAGCGTCAAGTTGTAGTACTGTTACTGAGCAATACTGTATGTACATACCTAATACCGGTAGTAATGTTGAAGGTAAGGTTACTGTGACAACCTTGACAAAAGTGATTTTGCTACGGATTGTGAAAATCTTCAAGGATATCAAAACCATCTCCAAATCATAAGCCCCTGTCAACTCGCTGTTGGACAATGAGTCGTAGGGGCGTCGACGACTGTAATACATCGCCATCAACCTCCGTAGGTAATCATGGGTCCATCATGACTACTGAGGTGGTCGCCTCATGCCTAAATAAAGGACGATAACATCAAGCTGGGGTATTAATATCTGTGTGCCCACATTACTTTGCCAGCGATGAGATTAGGTACAGTAGTAGCAGAAATAGGATTAACGTTATTTTACGCTTGTTTGTCTTGTTTTTTCCAAATGGTCTCGGTCTTGCCTTCCAAAAACGCGACGAACCGGGCGGCGACAAACAAAAAGTCGCTCAATCGATTCAGGTACTGAATGACGACGGGGTCGACGTCTTCGTCCCCAATGGACACCACACGGCGCTCGGCGCGGCGGCACACGGCGCGCGCTACGTGCAAATGACACGAAGTCATGCCACCGCCGCTGGGTAAGATGAAGTTGCGCAACGGTTCTAAATGCTCGTCCATTTCATCGATCCATGTCTCGAGCACAGTTACGTTCGACGGTTCGAATTCCGCGCGGCGGATCTTGCTTTGACCGGCCGAACTCAACGGTGTCGCAACGCTAGCTCCAACATCAAACAGCCGCGACTGAATCTCTTCGAGGTGTGCTTGGAACTCCAGTCCCGGACGCAACGTCGTCTCCACGCCAAGCGTCTGGAAATGCGTCAATGCAACGCCGATCTGGGCATTCAGTTCGTCCGTGTCGCCGAGTGCCATGAACACAGAGTCGTCTTTCGAGCGGCGCTCCCCCGAGAAGAGTTGGGATGTGCCCTTGTCACCGGTTTTCGTGTACACTTTCATGGTGCGAAGCTGTTGGGAGAAGGCGGTGGGATTAACGAGAGGCAATTTAGCAAGGCGAGGGAGCGCAACGACGCTAGCAGCAGCGCACCGACCTGTTTGTTTCGGAAGTTGGTGCCAGACCACCCGACACAACATTTTTTATGACAGCGGCCTCTGGTACAACCGGATAATGACATGTGGCTAGCTCAAAGGCCATTGGCTGGATTCGACGAAACGGTTACAAAACCTTCCTGAGGGTTCATTGAAAAATATGTGCACGTCATATGTATATTACGTGGCCTTACCAGAACCAAGGATTTAGCTACCACACGATACACTTCTTGGCTGGGTTCATGGGTGCACCCACTGGGCATTGGAATGCATCTGCAAACGTCTGCGAGTTCATAATGGGACCATTCACCCGCCACTTGTTGGGGGAGTGCGGGTCGGACGCGAGCAACAGCTCCGCGTACGAGTCCGTGTGCTTGCCACACCACCCCTGGGCAAACGCCACAAAGTATGCCTGGGCGTCGGCTTGCTTCTCCGCGGGCGTTTCGACCTCCTTAGCACCATGCTTCGAGTTCAAGTAGGCCAAATACGCCAGTTTGAGGCCCCCGTTGTCGGCAATGTTCTCACCCAATGTCAACTGCCCGTCCACATAGCCAATGAGTTTGGTCTGATCCAGCGTGAGCACGTCAAAGGTGGAGTATTGGTCCGCGAGGCACTTGGCCTTGACGTCGTACGTGTGGCTGACGTTCGCGCTCCACCACACGTGCATGTTGCCTTGGCTGTCAAAGTTGCGGCCCTCGTCATCGAATCCGTGCGTGAGCTCATGGCCCATGACCATGCCGATTCGAGCGTAGTTGGCCACGTCGGGGAGTTTGCGGGCGCTGTAGAATGGCTGTTGCATGATGGCGGCCGGGAACACCATTTTGTTCTCACTGGGTTCGTAGTACGCGTTGACGGTCGACGCCGTCATACCCCATCCATTCCGGTCCACTGGTGCGCCAATGCCATCCAACGTTGCTTGGAAGGCCACCCCCTTGAAATGCATGACATTCGACCAGAAGTCCGTCGCGGAAATGTTAAACGGCAGCGAAGGCACGGCGCCGTCGTCGGGACCCCCTACCAAATTGAACACTTGGTGCAGTTTGGTCATCGCTTGGGCACGGGTAGCCTCGTCGAGCCACGCTTCGCGCTGCAAAATATCGTCCATCGACGATTCAATCTCTTGCACCAGCCGCTTCGCCGCTTCCTTCGTCTGGGTATCCCACACCTGGTCCATGTAGTACTGACCAACAACATCCCCCAACAGTGACTGCGTGAGGGTAAAGCAAAAGTCCTTTCGCACTTGTTTCCGCACGAGGCCCCGAAGCGTGCCGTGGAAGTTGTGGCTCGCTTGGCGGAACGATTCGCCCAAGATCTGGCTTTGCGCATCCAGGAGATGAAATCCCACGTAACTTTTCAAGATTTGGAGATCTGTGAGCGACTCGAGAAGGGCCGCTTGACTTGTGAGGAACGACGGCACCTCAACCACGACCGTGGCGTTGGTGTCGACCAGTCGCTGATAAATCCCCGCGCCTTGAAGGTACTTGGTCACGTACGGGAATTTGGAAGGGAGGTCCGCCACAGCCACGGGGTTGTAAAGCGCCCATGGATCCCGCAGCGCCGCGCTCGACTCGGACACATTGGCAAAGGACGCCTCCAAGTTCAAAATGCGGTGGGCAAACTGCGACACGTTGCGATTCGGAAACGCTTTGACGTGGCCCAACGCTTGCGCGTACGTGACAAAGAGCGAAAAGTACTTCGATCTTTTGTGCGAGTCCGTGTAGTACTCCTTGGCGGGGAACGTGAGGCCCCCTTGGCCGACGGTCAACACGTTACTGGACGCGTTCTTAGCGTCTGCGCCCACGTCCAAGCTGAACAGCGACACCGCGCCCGTGACCGCATAGAGATGACCGGCGTACGCAACCACGTCCGCCACGCTCGTTAAACTCGCCAAGTGCTCGAGCTTGAGCGAGATAGCTTCAATCGCGCGCGGGTCAACGTCTTTCCCCCCCAAACACGATTGGTAAAGCGGATCAATCAATGGCGGGCGGCGGGTCATGATGTCATCGATGATCTTGGTATTCGCGGCAGCCACGACCGAGAACGACGTGTCGACGCTTGTCGCGTCGTCCGGGATGGTCGCCGTCTCAAGCCACCCTCCGCACGCGTACTGGTAAAAGTTGTGGCACGGGTCCACCGACTCGTCTAAGAACGCCCGGCTGTCTTTGCGGAACGCGGCAAACGGGTCTCCTTTTGACGCAGGGGGCTTGACGGACGCCGCCTTGACAGAGGGGGTGCTGGAGCGTGGAAGCGAGTGCCCCACCACCGCCAAGCAGCCCATGATCAAGAGGGAGCCACCGACCACTGCAAGTTTGGACAAGATGTTGCGGGAGCGAAGCACCACCCTTGGCAGGTCTTCGTTATCCACAGGACTGGCAGTCCCATACACCGACACCTCCTGCTGATGCGAGGTCGTGGAAAACGAGATGCGCTCTGTCTTGGTCATCTTGGGTTGTGCCACTGTCGGCAAGAGTTGGTGGAACTTCGAACAAGTAGTGAAACCGATATCGGTTACAAAGCGACTCTTCCCATCGAGTGGAACTTTAGTGCGGGCTTCACTACGCCGCTAAAGCCCCCAAAGCGAGGGACTACTGTATACACGTGGCTTGTTATGTCAGTGTGCAGTGTGTGTGTCTAATACGTATCACTTCAAGAGTCTTGTTGGAATGCCCAGTGAAACACCAACGAGATAGCGAAAACGTTGTGGTTCTAACTCTTAGTCAAAATCACTGTCTGACAGGTCTTCAAAGGCCCACATGTCACCATCACTCGTGTCGCCGTCGAAAGCGTTCTCTACGAAGAAGAATGTCGGTACGAATGACTGATCCCAATCGACTGCTCGAAATCGTTACCACTGCATGTATCCCAATCTGCCGCCTGCGCAGTGACTTTTTTGCCGTACGCGTTCTGGGACCGCCTTGGCTCCTTGGGCTGCACATGCTCCGTCGGCACTTTTTCAGGCAATGGACGGGACACCTGTTTCCATGGAGTGGAGGACGCGCCGAGGTTCCCGATTTGCGACAACACGCACAACTGCGACGCTGGCGACAGTTCGAGGGGGACATTGATGTTGTCCTCAGGACTCGGAGGATGGAAGATTCTCAATCGTTTTGACGAGGTCCACCTCGATGTAAAAGACTTGTCAGCGGGGCGACCATTGTCCTTGACCAAGTAAATGACATTGCCACCGCCTTCTGTATGTGCGGGAGTTCCGCGCGGAGTACGGGTAACCTTTAAACTCAAACGATCATGAGATCGTTGGTCGCCATCGGTTGTCAAGACGCTCTCGTGTGGAGAACTATAGTCGAGCGTGTGATTAATCCCGGCATGGACATCCGTCGTCCAAGCTTCCCCTTGACCTATCGCTTGAACATGTTGTTATGAAGTAATCACATCCCTTTATGACATTGTTGCATGCACCTTTTCGCTCAGGTGACTCTTCACACCAAGATGGTGTTGGGGAAGTTTGACTAAGAATGAGGGTTGCTTCGTCGTCACTGTCGTCGTCGTGCTTCTCGCCGATCGGGTGTACTTTCTGTGGATGTGTGGACAATCTTGGTTCCATCAAGCAAGGAGATTCCCATTCGTTTGGTGACATGGGGCTGCTCATCACTGTGATGTCACTGTCAGAGTCTTCATTGGCGTCTCCATGTCGCCGCTTTTCCATCGTTGCACAAATGTCAATCCGAAAGATATCCGGATAATTCAAATACTATCCTCACACGTTTCAAAGGCCCACCATACAAGTCCAGAATATATCATATCTGTCAGATGGCTCCGTCTCCTGTCCGATTCCACCTAAGCCCCCCGTGCTCCGCAACCACGCCCGAACCTCCACCCCATTCTCGTCGATTCATTTACTGGTAACCCTGAGGTCGCACAAGGACTCTTGTAATTATAAATAACGTTAGATGCCAGGACCAACCTCACAGTTACAAAACGCTGACTGCGTTGTGTTTTCTTGCTCGCTGACCACGGCATGGCACAATGCATGCCAGCTCTGCAAAACAAGGGGGTCGAAATAGCCACTCAAAGAATGGCTTTGACGTGATCCAAGACCACGTTCGCCAGTCAAACAACCGATTGCTTCGAGCGAGGTATGACTCACCACCACTCGCCTTTTCACCGCCACTTACACTACGTGTAGAATGAACGCTAAGAAGGCCACGCACGACGCCTCGACCGACAAATCGGATGAAACGCAGTGCAACGACAATGCTGCGATTGCCGCCTTGGGTTGCTACTTGGACAAGAAGGCCAAAGACGTGTACGATGCTGCCCCCGAATACCCCCCGATTCGATCGCCCCATCCCCGCAACACATCGCACGCCGTCTTTGGGGTGTCCTTCTTTCCATTGTGGGCTTATGAGGCTCATGCGTTCTATTGTAGTTGGCTGTAAAATTGACCAACATCACCAAGTTTCGAGCGCATAAGCGACGCAGCGGACTCAAGATCAAGCGCACAGGGACCCAACAATCCGATAAACTAGCCAAGAAGGACGGCAAAAGCTACCGCGACATTCAAACCGCAGCCATGATGCACCGCCAAAAGCACGGCAATCCACTCGACATGAGCGAGAAAGTGCTCACTGCGTTCCGCGCAGGTTGAAAATCTCGTTCATGGTCGAAACATACTATGGTCAACTTTTGTGATTGTAGTTGCGCACTTGTGGCTCCAGCGAAAGCAGCGCCGCGACCAAGCGCTGAAAGATAACGTCACGTCCAGACTTGTCATGCGCCACAGCAAAATGTCGGCCATGTCTGACAACGTGTTTGACATCGTTAGCAAGAACTTTGTCACGGCGGTGCCAGCCCTCCAATTCTTCGACGACAGCGATGCCGTGGAAGTGCCCAAGCCTGTTGTATCGAGGCTGCCGTCTGCACCCGTTCACCGACCGCACACATCTCGCCCAGCTCAGCCTTCCCGGCCGCCGTCGCCTCAAGCAACGCCCCCCCCTTGCCCCGCCACCAGCCGCGCAACACCATCGACGCCTCCAGCGACCACAATATCTACCCCCAGAGGCATCTGCTACACGATAAACGACGATGGCCAACGCCTTTGTAAAACGGAACACAACATGAGTGACCTCGAGCTAGATCGAACGGCCAGGTGTGTTCGCAGTTCAATAATTAACCCCAACCTTTCTCACTGCATGCTATACAGAGGTCGATTCAACGACAAAGTGACGTCGGTGGAAGACGCGATGTTGCTCAACATGAACAAACGGTACGAGGTCTACTGTAGTGTTTGTTTGCCCAACGCACGGACAGGCTGAAAATACGCATGGGGCTGAAGAAGAGCCGCCTGCAGGACATTTCGACGGCGTTCAATTTGCACCAAAAGCAACTCACCGAAACGTTGGTCGCCACATTAGGTACAGTACTGTATCAGTACTCAACCAATATTGAACCAAACATTGCCATCGTCGTCATCATCATAGCAATGCACTGGGCCGAGCAAGAAGACATGCACGTCAAGAAATTGTCTGTCGTGTGCCTCAACGACACCAACATGCCGTCGTTCCGCATCGACAAGGAAGTGCATTTGAGCCACCTGCGGCACCAAAAGTGGCGACTCTACGAAATGTGCAAGGTATACGTATATGTATGTATGTGTTGCTTTGTTCACATTGCCTTATCGCATGACTTGTAGTTGGTCAGTTTGTTTGGGGCGATGCTCAAGGCAGCGGAAGACACGCCAGGAGACATGACCCGGTCAGCGATGCGCGTGTTATCACTGTTTCGTATCCTCATTGAAGACCATTCGACCCTGACGCCGATCGTGCTCAAGAGCATCGTCGCCCAGCTGACCCCAGCGGATTTGCAATGCCCGCGTGTCGAGGTAGTACTCTATAACGACTCGGCCGTATGTACTAACTCTTGTATTACTACCGGTAGGTGCTGTTAAACGTCGTGCACAAGCGACTAACAACTTGGCGGCGAGACGACGAACCTGCCATCATACGTTCCCCACTTGTAAAAGCTCAAACTTATTAACACAATGCGGATGGTTTTGCCGTGACGATGGCCGATATGGGCTGATTGGGGGTCTTGTGCGTCGTACAACTCTGTCGAGATCTCGTCATGTAAATGACGGCGGTAATCGCTGCGATCGCAGTGGCCATGGCGCTGACTATCGCAATCCAAGTGATCCAGGTCGTACGGCGCGCAGAGTCCAGCGCCGCTTCGGCAAACGTCACGGGAGGAGAAAAGTCGACGTACTGACCAACACAGTCGTCAGGGTTGGTGCGCGTTTGCCTGGTATAGCTAGGGATCGAAATCACAATCAATGCATCTGTTTTTTAGCCTGAAAGAAGGAGTACCGCTTGGCGAGGGGGGTCGTGGTGACGCTGTCGCAGCTCAACTGGCGAAGCGCTGGATCCCACCGAGCAACCATGTCGAACACCCCTGCTGACCGATCCGTGAGCGTGCCTTCGACCACAACCCGATACGCATGTTCGTCCCATTCATTCATGTCCTTCCACATGACCACTGCGCTGCCACAAAGCACTGCCCCGCACGCGTGGAATTGTTGCATGGCCAAGCAGTCGTCGGACGAGGTGCAGTCGTCTTGGTTATGGAAACGAACCCACGACAGGTTCAAGTGGGGGTACGTGGCAGGCCCAGGTGGCAACACGGCGTCGCGATAGGCATCGTAGCGAGTTTGCATCCCCGCTAGAGACAGACATCGCGCTCGACCGCCACCTTGAACCACGCCTGGACAACCAAGTCGCAACGACGCACACACAAACCCGTCAGCACAGGAGCAATCCAAATCGTCGCAGAAAAGATCGTCGGACTGAATCAACCCTTGAGCGTCGCACACTGGGACGATGGACGCGGAGTTGCCACACGACACGGACTGGTAGGCACAGCTAGGACACTCGGCGAGGACTGTAGATGATATCCATAGGAATGCCCCAACGATAACTCTTCCAACGTGCATGATCGTGTAGTCCTGCCACTGCCACAGCGACGAAACTGTAAAGCAGTTTCACAAGAGTTAAACGTCCATTTTGATCCAACACCAATGCAAATTCACCTCCAAGTATGTTCTACTAGTATGTCGATTATATTATTCTATTCATTCTGACGTGGTCGGGCGCTTCTTCGGCGCACGAGGCAGCCGACAGCCCAACGCCCGCTCAATCTTGACAATGATCTGCCCGTTCGGGATGGCGCGGCCAGACTCATATTCACCAATCACTTGCGGCTTCTCGTTGATCGCCGTGGCCAATGCTTTCTGTGTCAAGCCCTTGTCCATGCGCGCCTTCTGCAGGGCTTGCGACAGGCTGCGGTCAACAGTCTGATGCTTGAAGTTTTCCGAATCTTCGTCCAACTTGCGCATGTTGCCGGTGGCAGTGTGGGCAGATTTGTTGGCGACGCCGCCATGCTTGAGTTCTGTGACAACGTTGCCCGACCGACGGGCGCGGTTGAGGGCGGCATCTTTCGATTCGTTACCGATGCGGCCACCGCTACGGCCCTTGTCCCAGCCAGTAACACTCCAGTCTTGTCCTTGCGAGAAGCTCATCCTTCTACTATTGCCTTCCACACGTCAAATTGGTTTATGCCCCACCTTTATTCTCCGGATAAATCCGGTTTTCTCGAAAATACATTTTGTATCCGGATTCGTATCACAAAGAGAACATGAAAATGATGGTCGAAAATCGAAAATACAAGTCAATAGCCAATGAATTATCAGGAATATCGATTCATTGATCTGATTGGCGCACACGGATATATTGGACTTCGTGGCACAATCTCGTCGTTCCAATCGAAAATTCCGCCGTCGGCGAGCCCGTCGACCGCTGTGGTTTCATATTCAAATCTTCGAAGTACACAACACATGAGCTGTACTCGCAAGGACAAGACTAGAGCGTTTCTGGCTGGGACAAGGGCCGTAGCGGTGGCCGCATCGGTAACGAATCGAAAGATTCCGCTCTCAACCGCGCCCGTCGGTCGGGCAACGTTGTCACAGAACTCAAGCATGGCGGCGTCGCCAACAAATCTGCCCACACTGCCACCGGCAACATGCGCAAGTTGGACGAAGATTCGGAAAACTTCAAGCATCAGACTGTTGACCACAGCCTGTCGCAAGCCCTGCAGAAGGCGCGCATGGACAAGGGCTTGACACAGAAAGCATTGGCCACGGCGATCAACGAAAAGCCCCAGGTGATTGGTGAATATGAGTCTGGCCGCGCCATCTCGAACGGGCAGATCATTGCCAAGATTGAGCGGGCATTGGGCTGTCGGCTGCCTCGCGCGCCGAAGAAGAGACTTACAGCAGCTGAACCATAAATTAATTTTAATCTAATTCATCGAGTAATGACGCATTCCGTCCGTGTCCAGTTGACGGATGATAAAGTCGGGAACTTGTCGACGAAGCTTTTGTAGGTGATAAGCTCAAGCGCTACTGGTATGGAATGGACGCTCATGGAAGTTGAGGGATATTGCAACTTCAACCACGTTGTCATTGGTGAAATAATTGAAGGTAGCGTTCTATAATTGACAATTTTCAAAGGTCACATTGCTCTCACTTCTCATGTTGCTGTAAAGAATCGTATCGTACAGGATCTATCATCAGTCATAAGAAGCATAGACCTTGTCAAGCAATTGCAGGTTGTTGTTCGTCAGCCTACAGTAATAGTTCTACGTGGTGAATTTCACCCAGGATATGGGATATGGGAAATAACTGAATTGATGAAAGTAAACAAATGATATTAAACAGGAAATAGAGAAACTAATTGACTAACTATACTATACTATTAATAGTACTTCTGAAGTACGACATAGTTGTTGTTTTTTTAGTGAGGTGAAATGTACCCGTATCACCCCCTCACTCCACCAACGGAAGTGCATGTTGAAGGTGCATGGGGGCTTGTGAACTTTGTCCATTCATGTCTTGAATCCATATCACATACACCCGCCACGACTTGGTGTCAAACACGTACAGTGCCCCGTACATTTCCATGGTCAATATCCCCGTGAGGACGGCAGAGGCCTTGTCCAAGTACCGAGTGCCCATGTGATCCCAGTTGGTGGACGAGAACTGGTGCTTGGCGGCTGCATAGAGGAGCAAAGAAGCATGCGGCTGCTGAGGTTTCGTCCCATGTTTCCAATGCCGAAACCGTTCCGCCGCATAGCACAAGCCGCAACACCCAAACACCAACGCAATCAGGCTGCAAAGGTGATGCAAGCTTCCAATTTCTACGACGCCACTGTGGCACACGACCTCAAAGTCCACGGTTACCACGGTGCAATTCCGGTCCAGGGTTACCGATTGACTGGGGGGCGCTGCAAACACCCACACGGCCGACGCAATCCACGTGACAAAGTAGCTCGTATTCGCATATTTGGCCGTAAACGCCTTGGTCGCGACTGAAAACACATCATTGACGATGTACACCATCCAATTGAGCTCACCCGCGGCCAGAATGACCATGTACCAAGGCCGTTGTACCGATTCAAAGTACGACACAAGCCCATCCAGTGGTCTCTTGAGCACCAACGTGGACGTGGCCAAGAGGCAAACTGCACTAAGGGCACGAAGGAAGATGAGCCACCGGCCAATCCACACGAGGCCAGCAATGCGGCTGAACACGACCATGTTTGCCGCTTCAACTTGCCCTTTCAACGCGATGATGTAGACGCACACGACGCTGGCCACACACAACATGACAAGGGTGATGTACTGAACCAAGTACCGGAGGTAGTACGCGACGTTGGATGGCACTTCCATTGGGTTCACGGGGGCGTCCAGCGGGTTTGTCGCCATGGACAACACCGTCAACGTGCCGTTGTCACCTTGAAATGACACGACCTCCCGCACCCCCTGGACCCAATCAAATGCATACAGCCACGCATACACTTCAAAATCGACCTCGGTCTCCACGAAAAGGGTCATTTGGCTGAGCGAAAACGTCAGGTTCGGGCGAATGAATTGGATCATCTGAACGTGCAGTTGATCTCGAACAACCGCTTTGACAATCTGCGCTTGGGTGTAAAATGTCGTGGCCAAGGCCGGGTCGAAGTAGGTACGCAGGAACGCTATAGAGGCTTCGAGGGCAGCGAGGGTGCTGGTGGGGTTTCTGAATTCAAGACGTGTCACAGCGGATACACTGACGTTCTTGACAGCGACGAGGGCCGTCATGATTGCTTTCGTGTCCCCGATGATAAATTCCTGCAAGTTCAATCCGCACGAGCCCCCAGAACTGAACGCGAGGCCAGGAATCTTGCTTGTGGCAGCACTTGGATTGAATTCACAGAGTACGTTGCCCCCACCAAGGGCGACCGAGTTCCACATCTTTGGTCGAGGGGCGATGGTGTACGAGGTGTAGATGGGCCACATGGCGTGCTGGGCATCCTGACGAGACGCGAAAAGCTCCATGAGTGCCAACGTTATGTTCTTGTACAATCCGCGCAAGGCCAAGGGACATGCGACGCGTTTCATGGTGACAGATCCGAATGGCCCGAGATAACGTTGAATTAAAGAAAAGCCATTGCCCAGGGGCGGCACGAGGAGGCCACCGTCGACCAACGACTGTTCGGCAGTCACATTCAAATAGGCAAACAGAGGGCTGTCTCGCACGAGACTCTTGCCATGGATGCGGCTCGTAGCGTTGGACAGGACGGCCATTAAGTCATGGGCGAATGGGCGTTGCATTTTGAGAGAGGTTTGCACCGACAATTGAAGCGATCCATTCGAGTACTTGAGCGTGAGGGGGTACTTCCACCCAAACGCATTTCGGATCGAAAACGTCTCCACAACCCCCAGGCTCTTGTAGTTTTGCCACTGAGTCGAGTAGCTCGACAGGTTGGCGTTCGACCAATGCCCTACTTCGTCTAAAACCGACGTCGTTTCCATTGAATGGCTAGTTCTCGACAGCCACGCCAACCCGTCCATCGTGGTTTGCAAATACGTGAACACCCCAATGTCCAACGCTTCCCCCCAACAACTCGACAACTGACTCCAGTCGGTGTTTCGAAGGACTGATTCCAAGTACACCGCAGCATTGCTCTGGTCCGTCGCACATCGCCGTTGCTTGGCGGCTGTGTTGGCCATATCCCATCGTCTGCTAAAGTCCACGTAGCAATACGCTGTCATAATCCACGGAATGGCGCAGCTGTCCATTTGGCGTAAACTTTGAACAACGTTGCCGAGCGAGTTGGCTTCGTCTTGGACGGACATGGCGTACAGTGGGGCTATTTGGAGTGCCGTGGCGGACGCATTCGTGGTCAACGCCAGAGTGCCTTGCTCGAGGGCCGTGAGATCGACGTTGCTGGCAAATTGGTGGAGTTGCAGATTCTGGTTGAACCAGTTGCTCAAGTGCACTTGCGTGTTTGTGTCGAACGACGCCCACCAGAAATCGTTGGACATGGCCGATTGCGTCAGCTGGAAGAATGCATACGAACCTAAAATTGACGTGACCATGTACAGCAACCCGACAAAGCCAAGCCATGCATGCTTTCGCCCAAACATCGGCGGCGGCGTCGGGCCTGACACTTCGTGTTGGAACGTGGCGTCGCGGAAGGACATGCGTCGGGTGTTGCTTTTGTTGTGGCGCATCACAGTCGCCCAAATCTTAAAGTCAAACAGGGTTTGTTTCCACGGCAACATGCCCGACATCACGCACGTCACTGCGTCGAAATCTCTGGACGATGCAGATGGCCCTGACGAGTGCACGAAAAACGCCTCGGCCGCAGCGGGGATGAGCACATTGTTTGGAGCTGCCGTTAGAGGGGGGTGTCGACTGGGGTACCTCCGCGCATACGTCACCATGGCCACTAGTGCTACAACAAGTGACGCGAACTGGAGCCCGAGGAGGTGGGCCACACGCTCGCCACTGCCAAGTCGCACTTCTCCACCCGTGCAAGCCACGCCACGACGAAAAGATGTGAACGTGCAGTCTTGGGCAACGTTGGCTTGCACTTGATACGGAGAGGCGACGTCCAGACTGACCACCGCGGTGAAAGCGAGGACGCTGCTGATTGGTGCGATGTTGGATGCAATCTGCAGCTGGATGGTAAACGGCAACAATATATCGTTCAGGACGTAGACGACCCAGAGGGATTCGCTGTACAGGAGCAGCTGCGATGTCCACTCGCGTTGATAAGGCGTAAACGATGTCACGTGGTGGGGCGTTGTGCTTATGGTGGCTGGAGCTGTACTCAAGATGATAATGGCCGTGACGCCCCGAACAAAGAGCAACGGACGACCGATCCACACGCTGCCAAACACGCGATTGAAGTGGAACAGGTTGCGGCCTTCGATCTGAAATTTATTCGCCGTGGCGTATACAACCAACAAAGTCGAGACTAATGCAGCCAAGACGCTGACCCACAACGCTGCCGTCCAAAAATACAGGCACGCAGTCTTGGGAAGCTCCAGCGCGTTCGCGGCCACTGGAATGTTGTCGCTGCGAGTGGACATCAGCGTGAGGGATCCAGCGTCGCCTTCGAACGTAAACACTTCCCGAGTGCCGTGGACCCAGTCGTACAAGGCAACCCATCCAAACAAATCCCACGCTCGGTCATCACCAATGATCTGCTGGGTCAGCAGAATGTTCTTGGTAGCGTTGATCGTGGCCATTTGGATGAACAAGATGTCAAGTTTTTGAACTTCTTGTCCCACTGAGCCAATATCATCGGCCTGAAAGGGCATCGCCAATCCAGACAACAAAGCTGCCGCTGTGGTAACGACTTTCATGCACGACGCCATTGAGGCCGCCGTGCTGGAAGAGCACGCTTCGACGGTGGTGTTTGGGGTGCTGGCGTTGGCCAAGAGCGTGGCAAAGACGACTCCAGGAGCATCCAGTGCCATTTGAAATGGCGCTTGGGTTTGGCAAGTGTCGTCGAACGAGAACGGCATTTGCACAAACGACCTGGCCAGTGCCACGGGAGCACAGATCGGATTCCCTCCGTAATACACGATGGAATCTGAGCCCCAGTGTGGCGGCACGACCTCGACGTTGACGGACTGGAGCGAATCCATTGCAGCGGTGAATGTTGCGTCCGAGGCAGCAGCATGAAAACGAGACTGAAACGACACGACAAGCGCGACAAGCGAACGTGGCGGCATCAGAAACATGGTGTCCCAATTTGCCAATGGTCCCAAGTATTTTCGCATCAACGTCGCCCCTACGGTGGAGCTTGTACCGATATACGCGATATCCCAGTCTCGGCCCAACGCTTCAACGGACGTGTTGGAGTTGCGAACGAGGCTCGCCCCGAATCCAATGGCTTTGGTCATATCGCTCCATAGCCCCGCCGAAATCGTCCGCGTTGACCATGCCGCCGTGCCTCGATCGATGTACGGCATCGACGCAATCTTCATCGTCTGGGTCATCATCATGGCATTGACAATCGTGATGCTGCTGTCCAGGCCATAATGGAATCGATTTTGAAACTGCAACGATAGATGGCGCAACCCATGTTGTCTCCAAAGTGCGACTTCGTCGGCCTCGGGCAACCAGTTTGACGTTTGGCGATGTAGAGCGATCACCCACTCTGGGCCACCAGGCAAAACCATCAACGGAGCCAGAATGGTTTGGTTGATCTGGATGCCGTACGCGGACAGCGTCAAGTCATCCGAGTCGACGTTGCGCAACATTGTTTCCATGTATACACCAGCGTTGGTCAGTTGGCGGGCGGCACAGCGCCGTTGTCGAGCCGATGTGTGAGCCATTTCGAACCGACGATCGAAGTCCACCCAGCAATGTGCGACAATGGAGTACACGTTCTCGTACAGACTGTTCTGACGAATGGTCATCACGGCCTTCTCCAAGGGGACCGCACTCATCAAGTGACGTCGAGCTGCCGTGGGTGGCATGTCAATGAATGTCGTGGTATCCCCGTAGTTCTTGAGGATGGGTGATTGATAGAGGTCAAACGGCCCAGATTGCCCCAAGTTGATCTTGGTGTTGAAGATGTCGGCGACGAACGTTTGACCGCCAGAGGTATTGAACTGGCGCCACCAGTAGTCGTTGGTTGTGTACTCTGTGAGTAGGGCCATGTACCCAACATTGCAGCCCAGACTAAACGCTACATAGGCAAACCCGAGTGGGACCCAGTAGCAAAACAGTCGACCATACACTTTTACCACGACGTAGGCATTGCTTTTGGGGCTGGAAAACATGGTCGTACTGTGAGGGCGTGATCACTTTTAATACTATACAGTACATGAAACCACACCAGGTATGGCGGCGTTTCATAGGAACGGTTTCGCTCCAAGGACTGGCTGGACAAGAAAGGATAACGTTATGTCAGCTTTTTCCAAATTCTACACCGTAAACGTTAACGTTAGTACTACGTACAACATTTGCGATTTCAGAGGCTTAACGTTACAGTAAGTGTTGTGGCGGGTGACTTCATCCAAGCCCCGCCATGGCACAGGTGCCGGCCCTTAACCGACGGCCGACGCTTGATGAAAAGGTGTTGTATAAATAGTACTAAAACGTACGTAAAAATTCAATTTACACAACTGTAACGATGGCAAGGTGCGAATAATTCCCTCATTAATACACATCCACTGTTGTTTTGACCCGAAATACTGTTCAATGAGGGAATTATTGCATCCGGATAAACCTTTTCGCCAGTGGCCCTGTAACTTGGGACTCCGTGCTACCCCCGGTGAGTACATACGATGCTAAATCTCCGGGGCTAACTGCATCACTAGTGGTTAGCTATCGCTAACCACTGAGATGCACTTAACCCCTAGTAAGAGGTGAGGTAGTCTGATCATACAAAGTTCCATATAAACCTCATTGAAACAGTATTTCAGGTCAAAACAACTCAAAACAACAGTGGAACTGTTTTAATGAGGGAATTGAACCAAGGTTGCGGATAACAGCTTGTCGCATCGATAACGAAAACGATGGCAAAGATTGTCGCACCATTAACAGGCAAGACCGTTGAAGAAGCCGTACTGTAGAGAAAACCTTTAACTTGATGTAGTTTAGTATGTAATATACATTTTCGTAGTTAGTAAGTACTACGTAGTAGTTTACAATTTAATCACTTTCCAATTTACTATGTGAAGCTCGCAACCCTACAAAGACACATGACTAAGATCTGTGTTCAAGAACCAATCAAACGGCGCAAAAATATTTTAAGAATACCTTTGCAAATAAATACTACTGGTACGAATCACTTTCATGTCTATCCGCAAAAGAGAGAATGCAGCTTCCAAAACTCCTTGCGAATTTGTAACTCGTGCTATAATACTCCGAGTAATGGATTGGGTACCAAATACCCTAAACACCAAATTTGTAAGCAAATGAGCATACTTTGATTTACAGTTAGATAACATGTGCCTGAAATTGATTCTCAAAACAGTATCAAATTTAGTCGACTGCAAAACACTTTTCCCACAGCAATTACAAAAAAAAGAGATCACCCTATAGGGAATGACAGCGTGCGCGGAAGAACTGATGCAATTATGGACAAAGGCGCATTTTTCATCACAATGGTACTGGGCATCAATCATGTTTAACAGTAAATTGAGCCCCACAATTGGTAATTTACAGTTACATACTTGCAAAAAATATATACTTCCTCTGTGCCAAATTACTGTTAACGTTTCAAAATTTCGTTTGTGCCAGAATACTGGTACATTATACTTTGATTGGGCAATGCAGAAATACATGGAGTTTATTGGTTAAAATATTACTCCTGAATTACGTCCAACCGTCGGTTGAGGCAAGGCGAAGGAGCGATGCGTTCAGAATACGGTGGGGTGTAGCGTTATCGTGCTGCAGGATGACGCGTTTATTCGTTCATTGGCCTTACAGTTAGGAAATTTTGCCTTGATCGCAGGAATCACCTTGTTCATGACGAAGTCTTGGTACGTCTCCGATGTCACAGCCACCAACTGAGTAACCATTGTTCCAGCGTGACGGTTGCGTGAGTTTGGCGCCGCGGGTAGTTGCTCGACGAAGGGCCACATCCCGATATTTCCGTCGAAGTCAGAGTCGCGGTCAATATCCCATCGAGGACGTGCAACGGCGGCAAGGAACATGACTTTTGGGAGAAATAGTTTGGACTTGCAACTGCGACGCCGAGGTGTTTCGCGTTTGGTGAGGTAAACCTTGCGACGGTCCTTATCCGAGTTGAACCATTTTTCATCTAGGTGCACGACGTCCCACATATGGGTAAACTCAAAGTCCTCGAGATCGCCGGGTTGTCCTGTGGCCGAGCAGGGACGGGGCAGAGCGCTGGACATGCGAGCTACAGAACCAAAGGGGTTGCAGCTTGTTGGTATCTGTCAACAGTGGCTTTAAGCGTGAGGACTTGCGTTGGAGCGTTCCAGACTTCAAGCTTCGCGACAAAGTTCCCATTGAAAGCCCGCTTGCTTCTGACATGTCCCGAATCGTGGTACGCTGTGCCTGAGGTAACGTTACTTCCTCTACAGTTGCGATAACCTCTTCTTGAGTGTAGTGCCTTTTGCGCCCGACGCGTCCAGGTTTTCGCGACTTCACATTGCCGGCGGTCGTGAAAGCTTTCCATACTTTGGATACTGTAACTCTGTTCACGTTGAAATGTGAAACTGCACAACCGATGGCGCCACGAGCCAACTTGCCATTGACCAAGTTGTCCTGGAGGTACCTCACCACCGCTATTTTCTCGGTCTCGCTAAGCTCGCGGCCTGTGCGGATCACTGCTGTTTCCATTGCAAGTCGAAAATGGACATTATTTTAAGATTAAAAAAAAATATTTCGTTGCCCCTTAATCATTGGCCATTTTGACCGCCAAGACTGAGTTTTCGCGCCTTGCGCTCACAGGACACTACCCCCAATTTTCCATTTTCTTTCTAACTGGATTCACCCCATCAAATTTGGCGGTGATATCAATTTTTGGGGTCGATGTTGAGACAAATGTTAACAGTAATTTGGCACAGAGGAAGTACTTACTACTCGGAGTACTAATATAGTAGTAACTTACTTTATGATACTATTAATACTCGGAGTACTCGGAGTAGTAAGTTAGTTGCGAACAAATGCGACATGTCATCATATGCAATTTGACAGTTGCCTGCATAAAACACTTACTACAGTAACGTGTCCGACCATTGATGGGCCGAACGACCATTGATGGGCCGACTTATTTCATCCAATTAAAACGCCAATCTACTCTGATTGGACAAAAGGCAACCTCTCGACAAATTTAACCTGCATGAATAAATGGAGGGGAAAATATTACATATTAAAGGTTCTTCAATTTATGAACCGACGAAATGCCGCCAAGAACGCAGGTCACCATGGACAAGGCCGTCCACGATGTGTTAAGCAAGTACACAC